GATTCTGCAGGTCTTTCCTACGTGGGTAGATTAAAAAAATGGACAAACATTTCCTTCCTCTTGTAAAAAAAGATGCATGAAATCAGTTGTCTACTTGTGGGTTTTGTTTGTTTGTTCCCCCCCCCCAAAAAATGTGTATTTTGGGCGTAAAAATCCTCTTTTCTCAAAGAATGGAGAAAAGTAATCTTTGCATCCAGGCCTTTTTCTCGTGATAGGCACCAAAACAGCCTCGATGTTTAGAAAAATTAAAATAAAGTTGGGTCAGGAAGCCCAGCTGTCCAGCATGCTTCCTGCCTCCAGATGTTCAAAGCCATGCGCACAGTTGCGCCTGCTCATACCTCAACGGATCCCTTTTCGTAATTCTCAAGTGGCGTGGGGGATGCAACAACAGGTAGTCCTTGATTTATGACCACAGTTGAGCCCAAGAATTAAACAAGACCTTGGTTAAATGAGTTTGGCCCCATTTTATGACCTTTCTTGATATAGTTGTTAAGTGAACCACTGCAGTTGTTAAGTTAGAGATTGGACAATCATTTGCCTAAAATGTCTACGGCAGTGGCTCTCAACCTTCCTAATGCCGTGACCCTTTAATACAGTTCCTCATTTGTGGTGACCCCCAACCATAAAATACATGCCAAAAGCTCACGCGCTCTCATGTGCCAGCACCCATAATGCAATGGGAACCCCCATTTGCGCATGCGCGCATGACCCCCCCATGCTCCTAATGCACATGCACCTCACACTGCACATGTGCATCTGCACTGCGCATGTGCGCACCCTCCGTGCATGTGCCTCCACTTTTTCCAAGAGGGCCGGCACGCCTCTTATCGGAGGACAACCAGTTACCGGCCCGTTCCCTGGCGAGACAGCTGTTCCCAAGCCGAAAACGCAGCTATATGTGTTTTCCGATGGTCTTAGGCGACCCCTGTGAAAGGGGTCGCGACCCACAGGTTGAGAACCGCAGGTCTGCGGTCTGCTCCTTGAGCAAAGGGCTGGACTAGAAGACCTCCAAGGTCCCTTCCAACTCTCATCTCCTCCTCGTCTCTTCTCTTCTCTTCTCTTCTCTTCTTTACTCTACTCTACTCTACTCTCCTCTCCTGTTTGAAATCTATTCCATTTAATTCTAATTCTAATTCTAATTCTAATTCTAATTCTAATTCTAATTCTAATTCTAATTCTAATTCTAATTCTGTCCTGTCCTGTCCTGCCCTGCCCTATCCTATCCTATCCTATCCTATCCCTATCCGAAATCTACAGTATTTCATTCCATTCCATTCCATCCCATATTTTCTATTCTATTCTATTCTATTCTATTCTATTCTATTCTATTCTATTCTATTCTATTCTATTCTATTCTATTCCATATTCTATTTCATTCCATTCTATTCCATCCCATATTTTCTATTCTATTCTATTCTATTCTATTCTATTCTATTCTATTCTATTCTATTCTATTCCATATTCTATTTCATTCCATTCTATTCCATCCCATATTTTCTATTCTATTCTATTCTATTCTATTCTATTCTATTCTATTCTATTCTATTCTATTCTATTCATGTTTGTTAAGTGAATCTGGCTTCCCCATTGACTTTGCTTCTCTGAAGGTCGCAAAAGGGGATCCCACAACCGTCACAAGTATGAATCCGTTGCCAAGCATCCAAATTTTGATTGTGCGGCCATGAGGACAGTTCAAAGTGTGAAAAACGGTCATAAGTCACTTTTTTTTCAGGGCTGTCGTAACTTCGGTCCCTTAACGAACTGTTGTAAGTCAAGGACTACCTACCCTGCGGTTGCGACCAACGCAAATGCTTCCCTGATAGCTAAGCCCACCCGATCCTGATGGAACTCGGATCTTTGGTTGAAGGAAATGTAAGTCATCCTTACAGATCAAGTTTGTGGTAAAAGTTGCACATAAGCTGGATCGTATAATTTGCTCATACTGAGGAATGTTAAGAAATCTGCCATTTCAAATGTGCATAATATCATTTTTTTTCTTTTTTTTAAAAAAAAGCAAAAATTACTGGTTCAGGTTCAAGTAGTCTTAAAGATATAAATATATATATATAAATATAAAAAGATGTAAATAACTTTACGTGTGACAAAAAGCTGTATTTTCCATGACTGTGGTTTCTGTATTTTTTTGTCACGGTGCCTCCTGTTTTTAAAATATTAACCACTCCCCTGTGTTTGTTGAACAGCTATTTCCAGTGGCTTAAAAAAATCTGAATTTTCTGATATGCCAAGACGGTATGATAATAAAGCAACTAATTGTCAGCAAAACTGGCTGTCGTTTTTCTGTTATCCAAGCAAAATCTCCTATGCAATTTCTACAAGATGAAAGAGACTGGCTAATAATATTGAATTATTATTGATTTGAGCAGGGCTTAATTCATTCGAGAGAACAGCGGGAGTCTTTTTTGTTACGCTCGCTTTGAAATAAGCAACCACACGCACAGAATCTAAACAAGGCAGCCCCTTTATATTAAATTGAATTCTTTGTAGAAGGGATAGGAAAGAGCAAGCTGGCAATTTTGTTTTACAAAAGACCACACCAAAGAAGGAAAGTCTGAAATGCTGCTGTGATAACCTATATATTATTCCAGGAACTCTCTTAACAACCCTTGGGTTTTCTTGATAATTGCCAGCTGTTTCCAGTAGTAAAATTGCAATATGTGGTATGTGATTTTATAACTTCATTTTGACTGTTAATTGCCGTGACCATATGTACTTTATTATGAAGGACAGTCCTTTATTTCAGAAAAGCTGTCCTTTAGATTTATTTATTCCCCAAAACCTCACTTTTGTCCTTTATTTTAGTGGTTTAACTTTCACCGTATAATTAGTACAGGTAGTCCTTGACTTACGACCACAATTGAGCCCAGAATCTATGTTGCTAAGTGAGAAATTTGTTAAGCGAATTTCTTGCTCCATTTTACGACCTTACTTGCCAAAGTTGTAAAGTTACTAACACGTTGATCAGTGAATCTGGCTTCCCCGTTGACTTTGCTCGCCAGAAGTTCGCAAAAGACGGTCACATGTCCCCGGGGACACTGCAACCGTCGTAAATATGGGGCAGTTGTCAGGCATCCGAATGTAAAACATGTGACCATGGGGATGCTGCAACGGTCATAAGTGTGGAAAATGGTCATATAAGTCATTTTTTTCACCGCCATTGTAACTTTGAATGGTCACTAAATGAACTGTTGTAAGTCGAGGACTATCTGTGTTATTTAATGGAAAGCCCTTTCACATTTGTGGGAAAAAGCAACTTTTTTTTCTAACCTAAAAAAAAGAAGAACATGAACCTTGCACAAGACATTTACTGCATTCCCTTCAATGGCACAGGTAGTCCTCGCTTAATGACCAGTCGCTTAGTGACCATTTGTACGATGGACATCTCCAGAGTTACAGGTAGTCCTCAGATTATGACCATAATTTGAGCCCAAATTTTTTGTTGCTAAGCGAAACGGTTGTTAAATGAGTTTTGCCCAGTTTTACAAGCTTTCTATCCACTGTTGTTAGGTGAAACCACTGTAGTTGTAAAGTGAGCAACACGGTTGTTGAGTCAATCTGGCTTGCCCATTGACGTTACTTGTCAGAAGGTCACAAAGGTGGATCACATGACCCCAGGACACTGCAACCGTCATAACTATGAGTCAGTTGCCAAGTGGCTTAATTTTGATCACGTGACTATGGGGATGCTGCAATGGTCGTAAGTGTGAGAAACGGTCATAAGTCACTTTTTTCAATGCCATGTAACTGAACAGTCACTGAATGGACTGTTGTAAGTCGAGGAGTACCTGTACTTAACGATCCGGTTCTGGAATTCTAATGGCGAGATACAGACACATGCAGTCACTTGTTGCGTTTTGGGTGTTTGGCAACTGGTTCACATATACGACCATTTGCAGTGTCCCGTAGTCATGACCTCACGTTTTGTTGTGTTTTGCCAACTTCCCTCATTGACTTCCAGTTCCTGGCAAAAACTCCCTTTAAAGAAAATGGATTTGCTTAAGGACCAGGGGACAATCTGCTTAATGACCGCCACAATTTATATCTGTGTAATTGTGGTCTCAGTTACAGTCATAAATCGAGGACTAACTGTATGCATTTGTTAGTTATTGATAGAACGGTCAATAATCCATTTATTTATTTAGCATTTATTTACAGTTGTCCCATAGCAAAAAAGAATGAATTCTTTTATGTTATATTCTTAGAAATCATAATTCCATTCATTTCTAGTGTTGAAGGGTGAGTGTGAACCCCAAAATTGAATGAACTTTTCAACATCTGGAGAGGTTGGGTGGGACCCCTAAACAGCCAGGGGATGCCTAAATTGAGTTAGTCCTTGACTTTCAACAGTTCATTTAATGACCGTTCAAAGTTACAACGCCACTGTAAAAGTGCCTTATGGCCATTTTTCACACTTACGACCGTTGCAGTATCCCCGTGGAGACATGATCAGAATTCGGATGCTTGGTAAATGGTTCTTCTTTATGACGGTTGTGATGTCCTGGGGGTCATGTGATCAGCTTTTGTGAACAAGCAAAATCAATGGGGAATCCAGATTCATTTAACAACCGTGTTACTCACTTAACAACTGCAGTGATTCTCTTAACTGTAGTAAGAAAGGTTGTAAAATTGGGCAAAACTCACTTAAGAAATGTCTCACTTGGCAACTTAAATTTAGGGCTCAATTCTCGTTGCAGGTCAAGGACTACCTGTATGAACAGAGCTCACCGAATGATGTTTTTCTGTTGGGTTAAAGCAAATAAAAATGGACGGAATATCAAAAGGAAAATAACTAGGTATGAATATAAGCACTCTGTTTACTTGGTTTGGAGACATGAGGTAATAATTGGTCTCTGTCCAGTTTTTGAACATATTTCTGCAGATGGCCTACTCTTCCCTGGGGCCTTGTAAGGAGATTTCTACCAACTGAGTATGGTAATTTAAATTTATTAAATTGGTAGAGGAAAAAAAACAAGCCATCTATATTAAAATATTAAAAACGAACTGCGGTTATTTTATTTTTAAAAAAACCATTTGCAATTGACGCTGGCAGTGCTTTCGCGCGAGCAATGACAAATAAATAGGGTTTCTAGCACGACTTCCCTTTTTTGGGTTACAACATCCAGCGGAAGAGACACAGGCACAAGAAAAAGTGACATGTTTCTTCAAAGATTCCTGAGCTGCATCAAAGAGGTTTAAATTTCGTTGCTTGTTTTCACAAATCGGCACATCTCCACATCAGCGGCCTTAACAAAACCCTGGAAAGTTTGCTGTTCAGCAGCTGTTGCTGGCCTCACGGAAACACATTTGAACATCTTGTGCTTTGCATCGTAATTCCCCATGCATCTGTGGACGCGGCCTCTGATTAATCTCGGTAGCTCGCGATCCTTTTTTTTCAAAGAAGAATTAAAAGGTTATTTCCGGTTTTTTCCCACCCCCTTACTCCTTTCATGTAGAAATAGCACAACAATTTATAATGTATTTTGATCACTCTTAATATACCTTATCAAACATTTATGGATAGATTTTTCATCGCAATGATAAAATTGAACAAATTGCGACATAAACAAACCTTCTAAAATTAGGGTCTATATAGAAATCATTGATTCTTTCCAAAGGATGACTTGGACAAAAGAACCTGCCAGAACCAGCATGAATTGATTATACAGGTAGTCCTCGACTTATGACTGCAATTGAGTCCAACATTTCTGTTGCTAGGCGAGATGGTTATTGAGTTTCGCTCCATTGTACGACTTTCCGTCGTAATGACATGTACTTATTTACATTTATGTCCTTTCGTTGTGAATCACTGTAGTTGTTAAATTAGTAACACGGTTGTTAAGTGAATCCGGCTTCCCCCTTGACTTGGCTTGTCAGAAGGGCGCAAAAGGTGATCACATGACTCCAGGACACTGGGAACCGTCATAAATATGAGTCAGTTGCCAAGCATCCAATTTTGATCACGTAACCATGGGGGTAGTGCAACAGTTGTGTGAAAAACAGTCATAAGTCGCTTTTTTCAGTGCCATTGTAACTTTGAACGGTCACTAAAGGAAAGGTTGTATGTTGAGGACTCCCTGTATTTATGTATTGGCTTATAGTGTAGGTTGTCATGGATTCAGCATACTTTGTACATCTTTGATTAAAGATTATACAAATATATGTATATATATACTTACAATCTCGTAAAATATGCACGTCACGGTTTCTTTTCCATCTCTCAAAAGGAAAGTTTTTGACCTGAATTGTCCAGGGGTAACAGCAGAGTCCAGAACACCTAAATAATGCAGTGTAATTATTGGTCTGAAAGCTTTTCAGAGTGAAGACAAAAACTGTTCTGTGGGTTTTGTAAGAAGAGACGTGGTGATCTAGTAATGTTAGCCAGGATATACCGTAAATCCAGATTTAGCACAGGTGAGGGGCTCAACTGTGGTCATAAGCAGTGGTGGGTTTCAAATTTTTTTACTACCGGTTCTGTGGGCGTGGCTTAGTGGGCGTGGCATGGTGGGCGTGGCAGGGGAAGGATACTGTAAAATCTCCATTCCCACCCCACTCCAGGGGAAGGTTACTGCAAAATCCCCATTTCCTCCCGATCAGCTGGGACTTGGGAGGCAGAGAATAGATGGGGGCGGGGGGCCAGTCAGAATTTTTACTACTGGTTCTCTGAACGACTCAAAATTTCTGCTACCGGTTCTCCAGAACTGGTCAGAACCTGCTGAAACCCACCTCTGGTCATAAGTCGAGGACTTATAGCCACAGTTGAGATTTAGCACAGGTGAGGACCTGCCCAGAGCAACATGCTGACTGAATCCTGTACAAGGAGCTTCTCAGCTTTAGTACAGCTGACTGCCTCCTATTCTGTGGATCAAGAGATACACAAACGTGGGGTCTTTGGTGCTCTCTCAGCTTGCTTGTTTTCTTGCAGACGTTTCATGACCAAACTAGGTAACATCATCAGTGTTAGTAAGGAGGGCTGTTTGCTGTCAGTTTATATTCCGGTGTCTTGTCTGTCTGTGTGGGTGAGGGACGGTATTAGGGATTCTTTGGTTGGGCTGTTTACTGATGGCTTCTTTGGCATTTTCTCTCTTGGGTTATTGTTTACATGATTGTTGATCTGAAGTTGACCTTGGAGTTAATCTATGTTTATGTTTGTTTATGTTTATGTTTTATTAAATTTATATAGGTCCACGATGGCGAACCTATGGCATGCGTGCCACAGGTGGCACACAGAACCATAACCTTGGGCACGCAAGCTCAGATCCGGTGCGCATGTGCATGCCGGCCAGCTGATTTTTGGGCCTTCTGGGCCACCCAGAAATAGGGAAATAGGCTGTTTCCTGCCTCTGGAGGGCAGGCCGTTTTCACCCTCCCCAGGCTCCTAGAGAGGCTCTGGAGTCTGGAGAGAGCAAAAAACTGGCCTTCCGGTCCCACCGGAAGTCAGCAAATGGGCCATTTCTGGCCTCCGGGGGGCCTCCGGGGGGTGGGGAAGGCCATTTTTGCTCTCCCCAGGTTCCTAGAGGCTCTGGAGCCTGGGGAGAGCAAAAAAACAGGCCTACTGGGCCTACCATGCCATTGCGTGCCAAAAGCAGGGGGAGTGTGGGTGGTCGCGCGTGCATGTGCGGAAGCAGGGTGCATAGAATTGTGGGTGTGGGCACACGCATGTGCAACTCCCCCACTCCCCCCATTTTTGGCACGCGATGGCAAAAAGGTTAGTCATCACTGATCTAGGTTGATCTGGGTGCTGATTGCTGGTGGAGAGGTGCTGTGTTTTTTTTCCTTTTGGGCTGGTTGATTGTCTCTTTTGCATAGTCTACAGATGTTGTTAACGTCCATGTGTCTATTGATGGCTGATTGGTCCGAGTGCCAGGCTTTTAGAAATTCCCTGGCATTTTTGGACTCAGCCTGGTCTAGGATGGACACGTTTTCCCAATTGAAACTATGGTTAAACCTGTCTGTATGTTGTGAAATCAAAGAATTTTCGTCATGTCTTCTGACTGCAAACAAACGTTGACAGGCATGGGAATATATAAGACGTGCTGCTATTTCAGTAAGCAAGCAGTTGAGAGTACGGGTGGCCCTCGACTTACGTCCACAATTGAGAGCAGAATTCTCTCAAAAAAGAGTTTGGCTGACATATTTTAAAAATAATTGGCTCCTTTGGGATGATAAGACCAATATTCTTGTGTGGAAAACTGCCCCAACAATCTTACTATACTCACCCAGTACCTCAAATAACAGGGGAGTTTTGTTAGAATATTGACTCCAGTGCTTCATGCTTTCGATGACAGCAGATAAAATTCGGAGAGAATTCTCTTTTTCCTTCGCTTTAGATTGGCCCACTGGCCTTTTCTTTGATAGAGGGACAGAAAGAAGAAGACAGATAAGCCAAAGATGATTGCATCACGTTTTGAGTTTAAGTGAGAACGTTGCTATTTACAGTTAGTCCTCGACTTAGGACCTACAATCGAGCTTTGTTGTTAAGTGAGACATGTGTTAAGTGAGCGTTGCTCTCTTTTACAATTTTTCTGGCCACCGTCGTTAAGTGAATTACTGCAGTTATTAAGTTAGCCACATGGTCGTTAAGTGAATCTAGCTGCCCCGTTGACTTTGCTTGTCAGGTCTCAAAAGGGGATTTACATGATCCCGGGACGCTGCAACCGTCGTAAGTATGAACCGGTTGCCAAGCGTCTGAATTTTGATCACGTGATTATGGGGAGGGTGTAAAAGTCGTAAGTGTGAAAAAAATGGTCCTAAGTCACTTTTTTCAGTGCCGTTTTAACTTTGAAAAGTCACTGAATGAACTGTTGTAAGTTGAGGACTACCTATATAAGTCACCAAGTGCTTCAAGCCGCTTTTTTTCAGTTTGGAAAATAAGTAGGATTCGCAAAACATCCTTATAAAAATATAGGCATGCCTGAATCTTTTTACCTGAATCGTTTTGTTGCTTTGCAAATGGTCAGCTTTTTCCTTGTGGGTGTTTTGTGGGCCAGGGCTGTGTTTAAATGTGTAGGAGGGCTCCTGAGTCGGCAGATTTCTCAGCCTGGCGGTTGGAACAGCAGGCCACTGGGAAACAGCCGGATCCCAATCTTCTGCCTCTTCTCTTCTGCTTCTCTGCGATGCCTGTGGCAGGCCAGCTGGTTTCTGGTACATGGCTCCTGGCTTCATCCAATGACTGGGATGGACATCCAGTTCCGAAAGCTTTTTGTTCTCTGTTCTGTGGCCGAAAGCTGGGAAGTCATTTCTTTTCCAAACATTAGTACTTTCCTCCTGCCTGGAATGAAACAAGACTTCATTATTAAGGTGACCGACTTTTTTACAATGAGAAGGAGGACACAAATAAATTGAAGTGCCATGTCGTGTTTCGGTAAGAAGTAAACAAAGCCACTTGCGCGCGGTGCACTCTCTCAAAACAATTCTCCTGTGCGGAGTGCATGCATCTCATAATCACATCTCGCCACACTGTACCGAGCCTTGACGAATCGTCATGTCAAATACAAATATGCCACATCACACGCAACGGATCGGATTGGCATCGATCGAATATGGAGATTTACAGATTAGTCTTTAAATATCGAAAAGGAGGATGTGTAGGAGGACACTTTTCGAGAGAGGACAGAACTTACAAAAGAAGGACTGTCCCCCCCAAAGGAGGACGATTGGTCACCTTATTATTATCTATCGTTTTTTCTAGGTAACTACCTATCCATTCATCTGCCCACCCCTCTATCTACAGGTACTTAAAATACACACAGCAGCTGGTATTGTAAGCCTCTTTCTCTGCTTCCCACTCATTCCGTTATATCCCATGCCCATAGGACTCCCATTTTAAAATGTGGAGGACTTCTCTTCATTGCCACCTTTTGGGAAGGGTTTCTGCCCCGAAATTCACAATTATTTTATAATCCTAGGATTTCCTGGTGGCTTTCCATCCAAGAATTAACTAGAAAAAAAAAAAAATAGAGTTATCGGAAGTCTTCAAGTCCAACCCCCTGCTCAAGCAGGAAACCTTATACCCGTGATGGCAAACCTATGGCACGCGTGCCACAGGTGGCACGCGGAGCCATATCGGTGGGCACACGAGCTCAGCTCCGGCACGCATGCGCACACCAGTCAGTTGATTTTCGGGCCTTCCGGACCCACCGAAAGTAGGGAAACAGGCTGTTTCCTGCCTCCGGAGGGCCTGTGGGGGTGGGGAAGGGCGTTTTTGCCCTCCCCAGGCTCTTAGAAAGGCTCTGGAGCCTGGGGAGAGCAAAAAATAGGCGTACCGGGCCCACCATACCATCGCATGCCAAAAGCGTGGGGAGCGTGGGGGGGTCGTGCGTGCATGCCGGGGGGCGGGGTGCATAGAATTATGGTTGTGGGCACACACGTGCATGACCCCTCCCCGCACTCCGCCTGCTTTTAGCACGCAATGGCAAAAAGGTTAGCCCTCATTGCCCTACACCATTTTAGATAAATGGTTGCCCAATCTCTTCTTAAAAACCTCCAGGGATGGAGCACCCACAACTTCTGGAGGCAAGTCGTTCCATTGCTTAATTGTTGCACTGGACAGGGTGTTATAGGGTCTCCTGCTTGAGCAGGTTAGACTAGAAGACCTTCAAGATCCCTTCCAACTCTGTTATTCTGTATTCTGTATACGATCTGGAACGAGCTCCCCCTGGAGATACGGAGGATCCCGGATCTGCGCACCTTCCGTCGCGCGCTCAAGACTTTTTTATTTCATCAAGCTGGCCTGGCCTAAATCTTTTCCCCTTTTAAATGTAAATTTTAATTTGTTTTTAAATTATTGGGTATTTTAAATTTGTCTCAGCCAAATTATTTAATTCGTTTTTATTCTATTTTAAATTTTTGTATTTATGTGTTTTATTTTGTGGCTGTTCACCGCCCTGAGTCCTTCGGGAGTAGGGCGGTATATAAATCCAATAAAATAAATAAATAAATAAAATAAAATTCTGTAAATGCCAGGAAGACATCTCACTATTAAGACAATTGGAGTAATAAAGCACAATGTTTTGATGACTATCTGTCCTTCACACACAACAGCTTCCTTAATTATTGCCAAGGCTGCTGAATATAAATACAGGTAGTCCTCGACTTACAACAGTCCGTTTAGTGACTGTTCAAAGTTACAATGGCCCTGAAAAAAGCGACTCATGCTCATTTTTCAAACTTACGACCGTTGCAGCATCCCCATGATCACGTGATCAAAATTCAGACACTTGGCAACTGGCTCATATTTACAATGGTTGCGTTGTCCCAGGGCCCTGCAATCCCCTTTTGCAACCTTCTGACAAGCAAGTCAATGGGGGAAGCCAGATGCACTTAACAACCATGTTACTAATTTAAGAACTGCTGTGATTGACTTAACCAATGTAGCGAGGAAAGTCGTAAAATGGGGCACAGCTCACTTAACAAATTTCTCACTTACCAACAGAAATGTTGGGCTCAATTGTGGCTGTAAGTTGAGGACTAAACGGGGTGAAATGTTTCCCGTTTAGGCAGGCTCGCCCAAACTGGTAGTAAAAAATGCTACTGGTACACCGAACCAATAGTAAAAAAAATGTAAAAAAAAGTTCTGTCAATCAGCTGAGCGACGTACAATCGGAACTTTTTTTTTTACTTGTTAAGCATTTTTTACTACCAGTTCTCCGGAACCGGTAGTTAAAAATGCTTTAAAAAGTAAAAAAAAAAAAAAGTTCCCACGATTGCATGTTGCTCAGCTGATCATCAAAACTTTTTTTAAAAAACTTTTTAAGCATTTTTTTACTACCAGTTTGGGCGAATAGGTAGTAAAAAAATGCTTTTAAAAAGTAAAAAAAAGGCTCGGACGATCACGCGGCACAGCTGTGATCGTCTGAGCCTTTTTTTTTACTTTTCAAAAGCATTTTTACTACCTATTCGCCTGAACCGGTAATAAAAAAATGCTTTAAAAAAGTTTTTTAAAAGGTTCCCAAGATCACGCACCACAGCTGATTCCCCCCCACTTTGCTGTACTACTTACCTTCCCTGTATTATGGTTTGTAAAACGGCTCCTGGGCAGTGATGAAATGTAAAATTTGTTACTACTGGTTCTGTGGGCGTGGCTTGGTGGGGGGGGTTGTAATATGACTGAGTGGGCATGGCCAACTTTTTTTTTTTTTACTTTTAAAACCATTTTTTCTACAACCTCTTCGGCTGAAGAAGTTGTAAAAAAAATGCTTTTAAAAGCCTCTGATGATCCCAGCTGACTTGACTGATCGGCAGAGGCTTTCTTTCTTTTTTAAAGCCTCTGATGATCCCAGCTGAGCCGTGTGATCATCAGAGGCTTTTTTTTTTACTTTTAAAAGCATTTTTTCAGCCAAAGAGGTTGTAGACAAAATGCTTTTAAAAATTAAAAAAAAAAGCCGCTGATGATTGCACGGCTCAGCTGGACAATTGGGGGTGGGGGGGCAGGGATTTTTGCTACCGGTTCTCCGAACCACCCGCCTCCATCGCTACCGGATCGGGCGATCCGATCCGAACCAGGAGCATTTCACCCCTCCTCCTAGGATTCTTTGGATACTCCTTTTGCTGAATCCCCAAATACACAGCTCTCCCTCCTACCCACTTTGCAAGAATTTTTCTCCCTGTCATTTCTGGCAAAAGGCCTGATCTGAGAATTATAAGCAATACGAAGAGCCACACACTGGCGGATCGGGCATAAAAGGATGCAGTTCCAAGAGCTCAGAAATGATGACCTCAACTGTGCGTCGGCATTCATTTCGGAGAATGTTGTTGTCACCCACCTCCGGTTATTCAAGTTGCTTCCTGCATGAGGCATTGTTGGCTTTGATGTGTGTTGTTGCTTTGACAAAGCAGATGGGCTAGCAAGCTCTGTTGGGCTTCGGAGAAAAGGTTTAATCGTTACGGTGAATGATGAAGAATTAAAACATTACATAGAATATATTAGGTAGTCCTTGACGTGCGACCACAATTGAGCCCAAAATTTATGTCGCTTTGCAAAACAGCTGTTAAGGGAGTTTTGACCCAATTTTACAATCTTTCTTGCTGTAGTTGTTAAGTGAATTTCTGCACCTTAAATTTGTCGTTATTTGAATCTGGCTTCCCCCTTGAACTACGATAGCCAGAAGTTCACAAAAGGGGATCAGATGATCCCAGGACACTGCAGCCATCATAAATACTGTACATACCAGTTGCCAAGCATCTGAACAAGGATGCCGTATGAAAAACAGTCATAAGTCACTTTTTTCAACTCCGTTGTAACTTTGAATGGTCATTAAATGAATGGTCGCAAGTCAAGGACTATCTGTGGTCAATATAGTATTGATTTCCATAACCGTGAAATATATTCGATTCCAGGAATATAAAGATGCAAAAGATGTGGGGCTGACTTACTTGGTGCCTACTGTTTTCTGCAGTTGGATCGGTTCTGGCTTCTCAGTTTCCCATCCGAAATCTTGAAAAAAAAGTCAAAGGACACAGAATGCTCAACTTGAATCAAAGTCCTGATCCAATTTGGGATACTAAGAAAGAAAACGTGAACTGTGTTATATGTGCGTGGTTAACGATATTCCTTGTGACTTGGTGCTCCGCTTCTGAATTTTTTATTACCTAAGTTGTGAGGCAGTGTTTCAGGATTTCATTAATTTAAAGATATGTGGACTTCAAACCCCAGAAGTCCCTGTATGGCTGGCTGGGGAATTCTGGGAGTTGAAGTCCACACATCTTAAAGCGGCTGTAGTTGCAAAACACTGCTTTAAGAGAATAGAGCCATTGGTGGTGCCTCTGCTTTATGTTTTATTTTAACCACTGTGCCCTGGTGGCACAGTGGTTAGAATGCAGTACTCTAGGCTACTTCTGCTGACTGCCTTCAATTTGGCAGTTTGAATCTCACCAGGCTCAACCTTCCATCCTTCCGAGGCAGGTAAAATGAGGACCCAGATTGTTGGGGGCAAGAGGCTGATTCTGTAGACCGCTTTAGAGAGGGCCGTGAAGCACTGTGAAGTGGTATATAAGTCTAAGTACTATTCCCATTTCTAAAAAGGCTTATCTGCCACCCACGTTTTGGCAAATTTATTCATAACTGATTCCTTTAATGCAGCTGCCTCCAATCTGAAGAGCTTTAGAGAAGAGGTGACTGTAATTACGAGAATTCTCAACCCAAAGAGATAAACCATCTGGAGGGTATCTTGATGGGAAAGGATGGTCTAACTTTTAAAGGCCTCTTATGATGGATCAAATGTAAAGATCTGGATAATTCCACATTCTCCACTGCTAGCCAATTCTACATTACAACAATAATATGATGCTGATCATTGCAGGAATTGGCTATGTCTAATCTAGTGAAAAGAAAAACTAGGGGCAGCATGATAACTATGTTCCAATATTTGAGGGGCTGTGACAAAGAAGAGGGGGTCAACTTATTTTCCAAAGCATCCGAAGGCAGAAAAGATGCAATGGATGGAAACTAATCAAGGAGAGAAGCAACCTGGAACTAAGGAGAAATTTCCTAACAGCGAGGACAATTAACCAGTGGAACAACTTGCCACCAGATGTTGTGGGTGCTCCAACACTGGAGGTTTTTAAGAAGAGACTGGACAACCATTTGTCTGGAATGATATAGTGTCTCCTGTTCAAGCAGGGGGTTGGACTAGAAGACCTCCAAGGTCCCTTCCAATTCTGTTATTCTGTATTTCATATTGTTTATCCCCAGTTTCTGAAAATCGGAAAAAACCCTGCCTGTAAACATGGCTAATAACTTATGATAGACCCAATCCTCTAAATAAAGTATTTTATAAGATGATACTCGTATGAGTTCCAGTTTTTATTCAAGGCATAGATGGGATATAAGTGTATGTCCTTTTGAAAAAAGCTAGGTTTGCACTTTGCAGTTATATTTATAGTTGTCCTATTATACATCTCCATTTTTCAAATATGCTTTTGTAGAGATATAAGGCAAATGCAAGGTGGAAACGTTTCACTTTTCCCATTCCCTCTCTTTCACTAAGAATAGAATTAATTATTATTCCAATAATTAATTCTGGCAGAAATGTGCAGAGACAGCTTTTCAAGCTGAAGAAAATGATAAATATCACTTTTAGCATTAATACAAAAGCACATTAAGGAATAGTCCTTCCTGTGTAACACATAGACCTGGAATTTTAACTGTTAAAAATGAGGGGGGAAAGGCAAAGTTACAAGAGATATAATTTAAATGCCAGTCTTCTATGGAATTCATAAGAGGTTTATTTTGCTGCGTCCAAAAATTTTAACCAGAGGCTAGAAAAATATTTTTTGTGATAAACATATATTTTAAAAAATGAACAGCACACCACTTACCTGCAAGCAAGGCTGAGAAATTGAAATGATCAGCTGAATTGTTACTGCTTGGCTCATTTTTAAGTGGATTTGATGTGAGTGGTTGTTTGGTCCTTTTTTTCTGATTAAAGAGCGGGACTGGAAGACAGCCTAAGATTTGAAGTGTCAATATAAGGCACAATTATTAAATTGTTAATGCTTTTGGTGCAGTAATATACACCAGTAGCCCTCGACTTACAACAGTTCATTTAGTGACCATTCAAACTTATAATGGCACTGAAAAGTAATTTATGACCGTTTTTCCACACTTATAAACGTTGCAGCATCTTCATATGATCAACATTCAGACGCTTGGCAACTGACTCATATTTATGACGGTTGTAGTGTCCCAGGGTCATGTGATCACCTTTTGCGACCTTCTGACAAGCAAAGTCATGGAGAAGCCAGATTCACTTAACAACGTTGCTACCAACTTAACAACTGCGGTGATTCACTTAACAACTGGGGCAAGAAAGGTCATAAAATGGGACAAAATTAACTTTCCCTCCCCATTCCTGGGGGACTGATATTGCAAAATCTCCATTCCCACCCCACTGTGGGGCCAGCCAGAGGTGGTATTTGCCAGTTCTCCAAACCAGGGTGGATAAAAATCAATGATTTTTTTAAAAAAAAAATAAAAAAAATCAGGTTTTTTTTTATTTAAATTGGACTTTTTTGATTTAAATCAGATTTTTTTGATTTAAATCGAATTTATTTTAATAAAAAACTTTTGGGGTAAAAATCTATCGTAAGATAGTTTTCTATTTAAGATACATAAATAATTTAGTTTATTCAGCATGAAATGGAGCTTAGTTATGTAGCAGGAGGCTGTATATTCTGCAACACTGGGACTATCGGTGAGTCAACAGCGGGTCAAAGGAGTAGCAGAGATGACAGTTGCTCTTTAAAAATTATGATTTAAATCAAGTTGATTTAAATCAAGCCTTTTTACTAGTGATTTAAATCACGATTTAAATCAACTCGATTTAAATCAAATCCACCCTGCTCCAAACTACTCAAAATTTCCGCTACTGGTTCTCCAGAACCTGTCAGAACCTGCTGGAATTCACCCCTGATCTCGTCCATTCAGGAGATACAAAGGATCTATACAGAACTCTTCGTAGCATCTCATTAAAACCTTTGGTATCAGAATTAATTTGCTTATATGTATCTGCCTAATTTATCATTTCTGTCTGACCTTGATCAAAGATGACTAAAGCATCCTCGCTCCGTGGAACTCTGGACCTCCCATGCTACCAATTCAATTTTATCAGTATTATTAATGTCTATTGAGAAGGTGTCCATTCTGATTATCATTTTTGGCACCAGGCAAAAATCTCTTTCTTATCTGTCCAGGCATTTTCAACAGCCTCCATAATTATTCTCATCGCTGATTTATGCTTTGGTCAGGTTTTATTGGTGGTGGTTGCCCATTTGGGCTTATTGCATTGTTTTATTGCTGATATTGTTGTAGCTGTTATTGTTGTTATTCCCTTCAAGGTACCCTGGGAATTTGTGCTGAATATCCCCTTCTCCCATCAATCAACCAACACAAAGTGAATTTGTTTTTAGGGATTGCACAAAGAATAATGAAGAGAATGATCCCTGTCTGCAAATTTGTCTGATAGTCTTCATAGAAGAGGAAAATTAGGGGAGGGGAGAGATAATGGTTGGTTTGAAGAAATGGGGAAAAAAATCTCTGTGAATTTTTCATAAAGGTTTATTATAATGGTTAAGGCTCTCCATTTTTTAAGACCCTCTCTCCTGCTTTCTGGCATATTTTAATAGCCAAGGAATTATGGTAGCTCGACGTTAATATTGATCAATGCATGAAATCTACTCAGGGAACACTTCTTATTCCACCAATGAAAAATACGATAAAATAAGAATTGAGTGCATTGCTTTTTTGGATTGCATGTAAGGGGAGTAAATTCTGGTGGGGCATCCCCTAAGTGGTGTGGATGTGTGTGTGGATGTGTTAAAAAAAGGTAAATTGAAGTCCCAGTTCCCTTTTTATATGTGTTGCAAAGATTAAAAAAAGAGTCTGTGTTTTAGTGATACAATCACAGCCATCATTTTGACTTTTTGATGCTCCCTGCAACCGGAGAGAGATTTAACATAATTTAAAAACCATGTGCAATGTGTTTATCAGGATTTCTACTCCCCGGGAAAATGGTATAGGGTTTCCTGTTTCAGCAGGGGGCTGGACTAGAAGGTCTCCAAGGTCCCTTCCAGCTCTATTCTATTCTATTGTAAAAGTATGGGAAGGGAAGAATGGGAGAAATACAGATAGTCCTCAACTTACAACCATTCATTTAGGGACTTTTCATAGTTACATCGCCAGTGAAAAAATGACTTCTGACCAATTACAACTATCGCAACATCCTCAGCATCAGGTGGTCAAAATTTGGATGTTTGGCAACCGTAACAGTGTCCCTGGGCCATGTGATCATCATTTTTGACCTTCCCAGCCAGCTTCCGACAAGCAAAGTCAATGGGGAAGCTGAATTCGCTTAACAACCGTCTGACTCACTTAACAACTGCAGTGATTCCATTACAACAGTGGTAAAAAAAAAGGTTGCAAAAAATCAAGCATGACTGGCTTAACAATCACTTTGCTTAGCAATGAAAATTCTGATCCTGGTTGGGGCTATAAGTCAAGGACTACTTGTATTACAGAAATCTCCCCTGACTTAATAGGATGCTATAGGGGAGGTTTCTAATCCATTTTTCCACGCACTGCAACCTAAAGCCCTAAATAATATTGCTCGCTCCACTCATCTTGCTGGTCATCGGTTGGGAATTATAATAACTCTTTCGAATTCCACCCCAGTAAAAAGGTGGATACCTGCTGTACTACGCATCAAGGAACTGTCAGCGAAATTCCTCTTCATGTTTTTATTTCTAGATATCAGCACCTGAAAAAAAAATACATAATTGACTTAGTAGCCTGTTCTTCTAGACTCTAGAGGAAATAGGTCAGAAGATAGTTGTGATTCATTAGCAAAGCATTTTAAATCCCTACTACAGACCTCTCTGGCACAGTATAGTATAGAATTTATGATTATTTAACCATGCAATCCTATTCTGCTCTTGATAGTATTGGGGGTGGGGAGGGAGTGATTTAGATATTTCAGAGGGAAACTAATGCCAGTTGCCACCAAACTCAGTTTTTTTTTTAATTTGTTTCTTTAGATTTCTTCCAATCTACATCATCTTGTCTACTTTTGGAGCACCAAAAACATGAAAATATTTAGCAATATGCTGTAGGAAAAGCTCATAACCCTTTTTAAATACCTTGATTTTTTAAAACTTTTTTATTAGTTTAATTAATAATTTAGTGGTTACGCTATATTGTTTTGCTAATACGGTTGTGCAAAACTATTTTTTGTCTGTTCAGAAGTTAAACATAATTTTTTTTTTAAAAAAAGCAAAGTGATTAATTTTCATAGCAGCAGTAGGGCTTTTATGTGATCAATAATTTCAATATTAAAGTGTTCTTCTCTTGAAAGAAATGGGTGGGGAGAAGAAATCTGCAGGTCTCTAGGGCCTAAAATACTGTAGGTACTCTTCTGGAACAAAAGCCAAATAGTTTTCATTTAGGGAACTTAAAATTAAAACATCCTTTTAAATGGGTGGTATTACCTCTTTAAACAGTACCGAAGAACATGTGATTAAACTTTTTTTTTTAAAAAAACTGTTATTGCAGAATGAAGTTATTTATTTATTTTGCATATACCATATATATTCAGTATCTTAGCTTAATAATATACATTGTATGCAATACATACATACATACATAATAGGGACTTTATATATGCATATAAAATATATATAGTTTGCAGTTCAAGCAAGCTACTCAAAAGAAATTAAAGTAACATAGATAAATGTTAGATGATGATAATGATAGACGATAGAAAATGATAGATAGTAATGAATAACAGATAATTTAATAGAGAATAAAAAACAATTGATGGATTATATAAAAAAAGATCAAAATGGATGATTGATCATTGTTAATGATCAATGATAGAGTCACTGATAGAGAGTCTAAGAGTAAGATTGGCAGTAACTTAATTGTGACAAATAAATAAAAATATATAATGCTAAACAAATAATAATGATAAAAGTGAGAGATGAATCAGATTTATAAAGCTGGATGGATGGAGAGAGAAAGAGAGAGAGAGATAATAGCTAAATGATAGAGTTGTGATAGATTTATTTATTTATCAAGTTTCAAATGATTGAGAAATGAGAAATAATAGATTTAGATATAGATGATGGATGGATGGATGGACAGACGGATGGATGGATAGATGATAGATAGATAGATAGATAGATAGATAGATAGATAGATAGATATGGATAGATAGATAGATAGATAGATAGATAGATAGATAGATATAGATAGATAGATAGATAGATAGATAGATAGATAGATAGATAGATAGGGATAGATAGATAGATAGAGATATGGATGGATGGATGGATGGATAGATAGATAGATAGATAGATAGATAGATAGATAGAGGTAGAAGATAGATAGATATAGATAGATAGATAGATAGATAGATAGATAGATAGATAGATAGGGATAGTAGAGAGAGAGAGAGAGAGAGATGGATAGTAGAGAGAGAGAGAGATGGATAAGAGAGAGAGAGAGAGAGAGATGATAGATAGATAGATAGATAGATAGATAGATAGATAGATAGATAGATATAAATTATTTCTAGATGATAGATTGAATTATGATGGACTTTTTATTTTATTTTATTTATTTATCTAAGTTTGAAACTGCCAATCTCCCTCTCAAAGGGGCTTTTTACCGGTAGTTACTATGGATAGACAGACACACAAAGTTGTATTTTAACAAAAGCTGTAAACCTAGTCCCCATGATTTACAAGCCACAATTGTTGGCTTTGCAGCCTGAACCCAGTTCTGCTTTCCTTGTCCAACCATGGTTAATCAAAAACCATAGCTCAGAGAGAGAGAGAGAGAGAGAGAGAAGCCCCTGTATGTAAAAATGGTGGAAAGAGTTACAAATCATCATGGCTCAGAGTTAAATCTGACCCTTTTATCGATTTAAGGGCAATTTGAGCTTTCTCGACAGCCTGTCTCTTTGCTTCAGAGCCTGTCAAGCTCTCCTCACACAGGCTTATTTGAAATAATCCCCAGTAAAGGTTTCTGTCTCCTGTCTCTGAGGGCTGAAAATAAAAATGGTTGAGGCAGGAGACCTGGTTTTGCTTCCCTTTCTGAGGGGAAAGTCTACAACTGAAGTGACCAAGGAGGAAGACGAAGGGCCGTCCAGGAGGGGAAGGAGCCAAGATGGACGTCAGGGGGGAAAAATGGCGGGAAAATGGCACCGCTGAGGGGGAAAAAGATGTGCAAATATTTTTTTTTTCACTCTTTCTCTTTCTGAGTTGGGTGAACCAGCCAGAGACCACAGGAGTTGGACAGCTAATAAATTTAAATAAATAAACTGATGATAATGATGATGATGATGATGATGATGATGATGATGATGATGATGATATGGGCCTGGCGACCATAGGGGGCCTGAAGGCAGGAATGGAGAGATAGGTGTGGTAAGGAAGAAGAAAGAAAAAGTGAGGAAGGATTGAACCCCTGTTTCCTCAGGCTCTGGGAGGAAGAAGCTGCTGAGGACTAAGATGGCAGAGGAGGAGGAGGAGAAGGAAGAAGAGAAAGAGGAAAGAGGAAGGAAGGAAGGAAGGAAAAGAAAGAGAGAGAGGGAGAAAGAAGGAAAGAAAGAAGAAAGAAAGAAAGAAAGAAAGAAAGAAAGAAAGAAAGAAAGAAAGAAAGGAGAGGGAGGGAGAGAAAGAAAGGGAGGGAGGGAGGAAAAGGAGGAAAAAAGAAAGGAAGGGAAGGAAGGAAGAAGGAAGGAAGAGGGGAAAGAAAGAGGAAGGAAGGAAGGAAGGGAGAGAGAAGGAAAGAAAGAAATAGAAAGAAAGAAAGAGAGAGAGAAAAGAAAGAGAAAGGGGAGGGAGGGAGGGAGGGAAAGAAAAAGAAAGAAGGAGGGAGGAAAGGAAGGGGAAAAAGAGAAAGAAAGGGAAGGAAAGAAGAAGGAAGGAAGAGGGGAAAGAAAGAGGAAGGAAGGAAGGGAGAGAGAGAGAAGGAAAGAAAGAAAGAAAGAGAGAGAGAAAAGAAAGAAAGAAAGGGGAGGGAGGGAGGGAAAGAGAAAGAAAGAGGAGGGAGGGAGGAAAGGAAGGAAAGAAAAAGAAAGAAAGGGAATGAAAGAAGAAGGAAGGAAGAGGGGAAAGAAAGAGGAAGGAAGGAAGGAAGAGAGAGAGAAGAAAAGAAAGAAAGAGAAAGAAAGAGAGAGGGAGAGAAAGAGAGAGGGAGGGAGCGAGGAAGGAAGGGAAGGAAGGAAGGAAAAAGAAAAGGAAGAGGGGAAAGGAAGGAAGGAAGATAGGGGATAGAAAGAGGAAGGAATGGAAAGGAAAACGGAAGGAAGGAAGGAAGGAAGGAAAGAAAGAAAAGAAAAGAAAAGAGCTGCAAAGGGAGAAAAACAATGGCCTCAATGTGGGCTAAAGCTGGCACCGTAATCTCAGCTTGTTTGCTTTGGGCCCCCAGAGAGGATTCACCGAAGAGGACGGTGGCAAAAGGGGCTCCAGAAGGGACTGTCCACCAATGTGGACACCAAGCAGGACACCAACTGAAGGGAACTTTAGCCCAGAAGAATGCTTATTGGAGTTTAAATCCAGGCATCATGGTTTGCAAACCCTGGCTTATGCTTGACAGCCTCTGAGTGACGCCTGGTGATAAACTGTGATGACATCATGGGTGTGATGTCATAGCAGACTACAGAAAGGGTAGCATTTATGCCCTTATTTGCATAATTTGCTGGTGCCGGTTCTCCAGAACTGGTCAGAACCTGCTGAAACCCACTTCTGGCCCTTGTACTGTACATATTGCACTTTTCCTCGAGATGGAGCTCCAAATGCAGGCTGGGAGTTGTAGTTCTTCTGGGAAAAATGTATATTTCAGTGTTTCTCAGCCTTAGCAGCATGTTTAAAGTTGGGTCCCAGAACTCCCAGAATTCCCGCAGCAGACATAAAATTTGCCAAGGTAAAGTGATATTGATTTATTTGCAAATCTGCCTGGATTCCTACCTATGCAATTATGATTTCTTTTTCTTCTTTGAGATAGCCCTAAATATACCCACTGTGCATCTATGGGAGGCAGGCTGTAAAAAGTACTCTTCCTTCTTGGTTCATTTTACCTCTTTTCTTTACGCATTTTGGACCAGAAGAGACCTACCTGCCTACCTACCTACCAGTGGTGAAATTCAATTTTTTTTACTACCGGTTCTGTGGACGTGGCTTGGTGGGTGTGGTGTGGCTTGGTGGGTGTCGCTTGGTAGGCGTGGCAGGGGAGGGATACTGCAAAATCCCCATTCCCACCCCACTCCTGGGGGAAAGATACTGCAAAATCTCCACTCCCTCCCCACTCTGGGGCCAGCCAGAGGTGATATTTGCCAGTTCTCCGAACTACTCAAAATTTCAGCTACCTGTTCTCCAGAACCTGTCAGAACCTGCTGGATTTCACCCCTGCTACCTACCTTCCCACCTTCCCCCTTTCTCTCTTTTTCTCCCTCTGTCTCTCTCCTGCTGCTTTTCATTCTCACCAACACCCTATTTTATTTTATTTATTTTAATTTGATTTATATGCCACCCTTCTCCGGAGACTCAGGGCGGCTTACAATGCGTTAAGCAATAGCCTTCATACTTTTGTATATTTATACAAAGTCAGCTTATTGCCCCCACAAACCGGGTCCTCAATTTACCTACCTTAGAAAGGATGGAAGGCTGAGTCAACCTTGAGCCTGGGGAGATTCGAACTTGCAGTAATTGCAGGCAGCTGAATGTTAATAACAGGCTATTAGTCTGCTGCGCCACCAGGCTCCCCTATATAAAGGTTATTAGGAGAGAACCTGGCATTTTTCACATGGATCTTGCAGATTATTTCTATTACTCTTCTCATCCCCTTGTTATCCCATCTCCTTGCAGTTAAATGCAAAGGACCGTTGCAGGAAATTTGAAACAATGTCTGCATTCAAGCAAATTTATGCTTAGCCTGCATACGGAATTAATCCACTTTCTGGATTTGTGCCATCCAGAGAACATGAAACTAACTGAAAAAAAAAAAAGATAAACATTAACCAAGCTTGCAACATCTTATGCCTGCAAAGCTGCTAAGGGGTGTTATGAGAAGAGAGCTATTTAAAAAAAAAAACAGACTCTCCCTGCAGTTTTTGTTTGCTAGTGAAGTCTTCCAACCAGCTTTCTCCCTGCTGCTTATCACTCCCAGCCAGCAGCAACTGCTCTGGTTGGAAATTATGAGGAATTTACTTCCAAGAATATGTGGGAAGTGAGAAAAAAAACTGCTGTAATACAATTTTTCAGTAAGCCACAACCTATGTGAGAATGGCTGCATTTCAACCCTTGCCTTCTACAGCCAGTCCTCAACTTACAACTATTTAGTTTAGTGACCGTTTAAAGTTACAAGAGCACTGGGGGAAAAAAATGACTTATCACCGGGTTTTCATACTTTAGGACCATTGCACCATCCCTAGGGTCAGAGAATGAAAATTCACTGAGCAACTGTGGCAAGAAAAGTCGTAAAATGGGGCAAAACTCACTTAACAACTGTTTCACTTAGCAATAGAAACTTTAGGCTCAATTACGGTTGTAAATCAAGGACTATTTGCAATCCACATTTTGTGGAATCGGCTCAGATAAATAACCCATGTGTATTAAAAATCTGCATTTTAGGATCTAACATTGAAGGAATGCATCTATTTATATAATTTAGATCCCAAATATCACTTTCTAAATTGTGTTTCTTTTTCCCTTTTAAGCTACAAAATTAAAAGGACCTAAATCCATGTCAAACAGACCAGAACTGAATTCCTATTTGTTTATCTCTTATACTAGAGATGAAGAAAAAAAATTCTGCACTGAAAAAGAATTGTTGGTAACTTAAAAACTGGGTTATTTTCTTAATTAATGAGGCCTTAATTGTCTACAGTAACTCTTAGCCAACTTCAGGTCTTTAGGAAAACCTTCTGTATTCCCGTGGATTTGGCTCTACGTGTGAGAATTAAATCTCCTTTGGATGCAACCAATCTGCTTAGAAGAATGAATAGAAGTTTCCATGGTTTTAACCTGTTCAGAATTGCTCTTTGCTCCAGACAAAACTGCTGAGCTTTGAAAGAAATAAGAAATGGGGACAATTTGTCCAGCTAAAATAATCTCAGCCTTTTAGAGAGGAAGATTTAGAGGTAAAAGTAGAATAAGGTTCCTATTTTTATAGCACCAATCAATATCTCTCTTAGTGCTATTCACATACTGAGGAATTTACTTCTGAGAACATCTCAAAAGTGGCCATAACCTCTGTACGAATGGCTGCAACCAATCCTTGCAATCTACAGATAGTTCTCAATTTACAACCGTTCATTTAGTGACTGTACAAAGTTACAAAGCACTGAAAAAAATGACTTACAACCGTTTTCCACACTTACAACTGTGGCAGCATCCCCATGGTCATGTGATCAAAATTCAGACATTTGGCAACGGACTCATAGTTATAACAGTTGCAGTGTCCCAGGGTATGTGAACCAGGGGTGAAATCCAGCAGGTTCTGACAGGTTCTGGAGAACCGGTAGCGGAAATTTTGAGTAGTTCAGAGAACTGGCAAATACCACCTCTGGCTGGCCCCAGAGTGGAGTGGGAATGGAGATTTTGCAATATCCTTCCCCCAGGAGTGGGGAGGGAATGGGGATTTTGCAGTATCCTTCCCCTGCCACGCCCACCAAGCCATGCCCACCAAGCCACGCCCACAGAACTGGTACTAAAAAAATTTGGATTTCACCACTGATGTGAACCCTTTTTGCAACCTTCTGACAAGCAAAATGAATGGGAAGGCCAAATTCACATTACAACCCTGTTACTAACTTAACAACTGCAGTGGTTCACTTAACAACAGTGTTAAGAAAGGTCTTAAAATGAGGCAAAATTCACTTCACAACTGCCTCGCTTTGCAACAGAAATTTTGGGCTCAAATTGTTGGTCGTTAAGTTGAGGACTGCCTGTAATTTCTACCAGGGCTGCGTTTTACGCCAGTTGTTCACCATTGCGCTGATTCTGGGAATGTGTTAATTAACAACCTTGAGAAATCAGGCCAAAAATAAATAGCAACAGTACTTTAGCATCAAATTCAGCTAACCTGTTTAAATAAGGATTGAGCAGGTTTTCCATAAATTTAAAAAAAAAGAGAGGGGTTGTAATTTATTCTATTCTATTCTATTCTATTCTATTCTATTCTATTCTATTCTATTCTATTCTATTCTATTCTATTCTATTCTCTATTCTATTCTATCCTGTTCTATTTTCTTTTTTTTCTATTCTATTCTATTCTATTCTCTATTCTATTTTCTATTCTATTCTATTCTATTTTCTATTCTATTCTATTTTCTATTCTATTTTATTCTATTTTCTATTCTATTCTATTCTATTCTATTCTATTCTATTCTATTCTATTCTATTCTATTCTATTCTATTCTCTGTCTCGTGTAATGAATTGGCAGGTTCAGCGTATTTTTGCTCCCATCGCTCATTGTTTGGTTTACATACAATTAATTTCCAGGGTTGTAAAAATCTAAAATTTAGCTCTGGTTATGCCTTGAATGGTGTGGGAGAATTGCAAGCTCTAAACTAGATTTTTCAATCCTGTAAGACTTAAAATCTTTTAAAACCTGCAATGTTTTACATTCCCGAAAGAAAGCAATAGCAATCCTCAGGTAATCCTCAAGTTACAGCCACAACTGAGCCCAACATTTCTGTTGTTAAGTGAGTTGCGCCGCATTTTACAACCTTTCTTGCCATGGTTGTTAAGTGAATCATTGCTGTGGGTAAGTTATTTTATTTTATTTATTTATTTGATTTGATTTTTATACCGCCCTTCTCCAGCAGGACTCAGGGCGGTGAACAGCCAAGGTAAAACATAGCATACCAAATTTAAAACAATTTAAAAAGATATTAAATAATTTCGGCCCACAATTTAAAAACACCCCAATAAAATCAATTACAAATTAAAACCGAAAGATGGGATCAAGTTAGGTTAGTAACATGGTTGTTAAGTGAATCGGGCTTCCCCATTAACTTTGCTCATCAGAAGGTCACAAAAAGGGATCCTATGACCCTGGGACAATGCAATTGTGCTAAATAAAGGTAATCCTCAACTTACGACCTCAATTGAGCACAACATTTCTGTTGCTAAGCGAGACATTTGTGCCCCTTTTTACGACCTTTCTTGCCATCGTTGTTAAGTGAATCACTATTTAAGTTAGTAACATGGTTATTAAGTGAATCTGGCTCCCCCATTTACTTGTCGGGAGGTCGCAAAAGGGGATCACACGACCCCAGGACACGACAACCGTCATAAATATGAATCCGCTGCCAAGGGACCGAATTTTGACCACGTGACCATAGGGATGCTGAAACGGTCATAAGTGTGAAAAACCAGTCATAATTCACTTTTTTCAATGCCTTTGTAACTTTGAACGGTCACTAAATGAGCTGTTGTAAGTTGAGGACTACCTGTACTTATAAAATTTGTCCAAAACCTCTACAATATCATGACCTTGAAGTGGCCAAGCTCAACTGAAGGAATTTTTTTTTTTTTTTAATTTGATAAAGGAGATTCCTAGGGAACAATCCTTAGCTCAGCTTTTTGATTTTATGCTTTCAATGCCACGCACGGTATGCTAATTTTTAAAAAAGTCATCACTCCGTACTGCAGAAAGGGAGAAAGCAAAATTTTCAAATATTCACTCTTCTACTGCCGTTGGAAAATATGCACGTTATTTGCGTGATCTCCGGGCAATCGGGCAAAACAAAGGAAGAATTGTTCCCCTTCTCCTTTTTGCTGAGTTGTGTGTTTCTCTTGTCCTCAGTGCTAGAGGGCACAGAAAGCAACAGTCTGACACACACATACACACACACACAGAGGCATAAGTGACACATTCTCATTATTAGAGCTGGCAACGTATTTCTCTAGACCTCTGGACCCAGTCAGCTGCCTCGTGATTGTGCAAAGTCAAATCGCAAAATGAGAGAAAGCTCTTTCTTGCTCATTTTTATTAGCATAGATGGTAGATAGATGAGAGGGAGGGAGAGGGAGAGGGAGAGGGAGAGAAATGATAGAGGGTAGGAAGACATACAGACAAATAGATATGGATAGATATATATTGGTAAGTAATAGATGGATAGAGATAGATAGATAGATAGATAGATAGATAGATAGATAGATAGATAGATAGATAGACAGACAGATACCATGTTTCCCCGAAAATAAGACTCTGTCTTATATTTTTTGAACCCCGAAATAAGCGCTTGGCCTCATTTTCGGGGAGGTCTTATTGTTTTGGGGTACATGAAGCAAGATGGGGCTCCTCTTGCAGTCTTACCTGATTTCCAGCTCTGCATTTAAATATTTTTGGGGAGGGCTTATTTTTGGGGAAACAGGGTAGATAGATAGATAGATAGATAGATAGATAGATAGATAGATAGATAGATAGATGGATGAATGGATAGATATGTATAGATGATAGATAGATAAATAGATATAGATGATAGATAGATAGATAGATGGATAGATGGATAGATGGATAGATGGATAGATGGATAGATGGATAGATGGATAGATGGATGGATAGATAGACAGATAGACAGACAGATAGATATAGATGATAGATGGATAGATGGATAGATGGATAGATAGATGTAGATGATGGATGGATAGATAGATAGATGGATGGATAGATATAGATGATAGATGGATAGATGGATAGATATAGATGATGGATGGATAGATAGATAGATAGATGGATGGATGGATGGATGGATGGATAAATAGATGGATGGATAGATATAGATGATAGATAATGATAGATAGATAGATAGATAGAGATAGCTAGATAGATAGCTAGATAGCTAACTATCTATAACTATAACTATATATATATATATAACTATATATAACTATAACTATAGCTAACTATCGTCCTGTCTCCAACCTTCGCTTCATTGCGAAGGTTGTTGAGAGTGTGGTCGCGCAACAGTTTCCACAATTCCTGGAGGAAACATCCTATCTAGATCCGTTCCAGTCGGGTTTCAGGTCTGGGCACAGCACGGAAACGGCATTGGTCGCGTTGGCGGATGATCTCTGGAGGGCTCGGGACAGGGGTTACTCCTCTGTTCTGGTCCTATTAGATCTCTCAGCGGCTTTTGATACCATCGACCATGGTATCATGCTGCACCGGCTGGAAGAGTTGGGGGTGGGAGGCACCGTGTTGCGGTGGTTCTCCTCCTTTCTCTCCGACCGGTCGCAGTTTGTGTTGGCAGGGGGGCAGAGGTCGACCTCGAGGCCTCTCATTTGTGGAGTGCCGCAGGGATCGGTCCTCTCGCCCCTTCTGTTCAACATTTATGTGAAGCCGCTGGGCGAGATCATCCGTGGCTTTGGGGTGAGATACCACCAGTACGCTGATGACACCCAGCTGTACATTTCCACCCCAGGCCACCCCAACGATGCCCTTGAAGTGATGTCCCAGTGCCTGGAGGCTGTGCGGATCTGGATGGGGAGGAACAGGCTCAGGCTCAACCCTTCCAAGACTGAGTGGCTGTGGCTCCCGGCATCCCGATATAGTCAGTTGACTCCATCACTGACTATTGGGGGCGAGTCTTTGGCCCCCACTGAAAGGGCTCGCAATCTGGGAGTCCTCCTGGATAGGCAGCTGTCTTTGGAGGAACATCTGACGGCTGTTACCAGGGGGACCTTTTATCAGGTTCGCCTGATTCGCCAGTTGCGGCCCTTTCTTGATCGGGATTCCTTGTGCACAGTCACTCACGCCCTCGTCACCTCTCGCCTTGACTACTGCAACGCTCTCTACATGGGGCTCCCCTTGAAGAGCACCCGGAGGCTCCAGCTGGTCCAGAATGCAGCAGCGCGGGTAGTGATGGGAGCAACATGGCGCTCCCATGTAACACCGCTCCTGCGCGAGCTGCACTGGCTCCCGGTGGTCTTCCGGGTGCGCTTCAAGGTGTTGGTTATCACCTTTAAAGCGCTCCATGGCATAGGGCCTAGCTATCTCCGAGACCGCCTGCTGCTACCGACGACCTCCCACCGACCCGTGCGCTCCCACAGAGAGGGCCTCCTCAGGGTGCCATCAGCCAAACAATGTAGGCTGGTGGCCCCCAGGGGGAGGGCCTTCTCTGTGGGGGCTCCTACCCTCTGGAATCAGTTGCCCCCGGAGATAAGAAGAATCCAGGACCTCAATGCCTTCCGTCGTTCCCTGAAAACCCATCTTTTTCAACAAGCCGGGTTGGCCTAAGAAGAAATTTTTAAAATTTTAAAATTTTAAAATTCTTTTAATTAGTCTGTGATTCTTAACTTTCGGGCCAAAATTTATATATATTTTTAAATGTTTTAATATTTGTATCCTATGTTTTTTATCTTGGCTGTACACCGCCCTGAGTCCTCAGGGAGAAGGGCGGTATATAAATTGGAAATTAAATTAAATTAAATTAAATTAAATAGCTAGATAGATATGATAGATGGATGGATGGATGGATGGATAGATAGATATAGATGATAGATGGATAGATGGATAGATATAGATGATGGATGGATAGATGGATGGATAGATATAGATGATAGATGGATAGATGGATAGATGGATAGATGGATAGATATAGATGATGGATGGATGGATGGATAGATAGATAGATAAATAGTAGATAGATAGATAGATAGATAGATAGATAGATAGATAGATAGAGATAGACAGACAGATAGATATGATAGATGGATGGATGGATGGATGGATGGATGGATGGATAGATAGATAGATAGATATAGATGATAAATAGATAGATAATTAAAATTAAATTACAATTAAAAAAAAAAGATAGGCAGGCAGGCAGGCAAGCAGGCAGGTAGAGATAGATAGAGATAGATAGAGATAGATGATAGAGAGAGAGAGAGAGAGAGAGAGAGAGAGAGAGAGAGACAGACAGACAGACAGACAGACAGACAGACAGATAGACATAGATGATAGATAGGCGATAGATAGTGATATAGATCAGGGGTCCTCAAACATTTTAAACAGGGGGCCAATTCATGGTCCATCATACTTGGAACATGGAGGGCCGGACCGGCTGGGTGGGCATGGCTAGGTCATGTGACTAGGTGGGCGTGGCCAATTTAACAGTCCATTAAACAATGCACAAAAATTAAACTTTAATTTGCTTTGCTCCTGGGGGTGTTTTATTTGCTTCTTCTTTTTTTTTTTTTGCACGTTGCTCTTTTGGTGGACTTTTCTTCTTACTAGACCATTTTTTCGGTTGTTTAGGAGTCTAGTGGTCCACTTCAGAAAACTCAGTTTTGCATTAATTCTTCTCAGCCCCAAGGAGCTTGAGAAATCTCTCTCTTTCTGTCTCTCCCTTTTTCTCTTTCCTCCTCTATCTCTCTCTCTGTCTATCCATCCATCTCTCTTTCTCTATCTATCTTCTGGAGGCGGGGGAGGTGAAAAACAGGCCGTCTTTGCCTGCTTTTTGGCCTCCTGGGGCGTCTGTGTGCCCCGTTTTTCACCTCCCCTGCCTCCAGAACGTTTCTGCAGGCCAAAATTGTTGGCCTTACCTTTCAGTTCCAGCACGCAGGGCTCGCGAAGGTAAGTCCTGTGCTTGGCCGAAGGGTAGGCGAGGCGATGTGGGCGGGGCAGCCTTGTGGTCCTGTGCGGGCCGGATTAATGGCTTTGGTGGGCCGCATGGGGCTCGTAGGCCGTAGTTTGAGGACCCATGATAAAGATGATAGATAGATGGGGAGGGGGGGGGGAGACAGCCAGACAGACAGACAGACAGACAGATATAGATAGATAGTAGATAGATAGATAGATAGATAGATAGATAGATAGATAGATAGATAGATAGATGATAGGTAGGTAGGTAGGTAGATAGATAGAGAGAGAGATGATAGACAGATAGATAGATGGATGATAGATAGATAGATAGATAGATAGATAGATAGATAGATAGATGATAGGTAGGTAGGTAGGTAGATAGATGATAGGTAGATAGGTAGGTAGATAGATAGATAGTAGGTAGATAGATAGATAGATGGATGATAGGTAGGTAGATAGGTAGGTAGATAGATAATAGGTAGGTAGATAGATAGATAGATGATAGGTAGGTAGGTAGGTAGGTAGGTAGATAGTAGGTAGATAGATAGATAGATGGATGATAGGTAGGTAGATAGGTAGGTAGATAGATAGATAATAGGTAGGTAGATAGATAGATAGATGATAGGTAGATAGGTAGGTAGATAGATAGATAGTAGGTAGATAGATAGATGGATGATAGGTAGGTAGATAGGTAGGTAGATAGATAGATAATAGGTAGGTAGATAGATAGATAGATAGATGATAGGTAGATAGGTAGGTAGATAGATAGATAGTAGGTAGATAGATAGATGGATGATAGGTAGGTAGATAGGTAGGTAGATAGATAGATAGTAGGTAGATAGATAGATAGATAGATGATAGGTAGGTAGGTAGGTAGGTAGATAGATAGTAGGTAGATAGATAGATAGATGGATGATAGGTAGGTAGATAGGTAGGTAGATAGATAGATAGATAATAGGTAGGTAGATAGATAGATAGATAGATAGATGATAGGTAGGTAGGTAGGTAGATAGATAGTAGGTAGATAGATAGATAGATGGATGATAGGTAGGTAGATAGGTAGGTAGATAGATAGATAGTAGGTAGATAGATAGATAGATAGATAGATAGATAGATAGATGATAGGTAGGTAGGTAGATAGATAGATAGATAGTAGGTAGATAGATAGATAGATGGATGATAGGTAGGTAGATAGGTAGGTAGATAGATAGATAGGTAGGTAGATAGATAGATAATAGGTAGGTAGATAGATAGATAGATGATAGGTAGGTAGGTAGGTAGATAGATAGTAGGTAGATAGATAGATGGATGATAGGTAGGTAGATAGGTAGGTAGATAGATAGATAATAGGTAGGTAGATAGATAGATAGATGATAGGTAGATAGGTAGGTAGATAGATAGATAGTAGGTAGATAGATAGATAGATGGATGATAGGTAGGTAGATAGATAGATAGATAGATGATAGGTAGGTAGGTAGGTAGATAGATAGTAGGTAGATAGATAGATAGATGGATGATAGGTAGGTAGATAGGTAGGTAGATAGATAGATAATAGGTAGGTAGATAGATAGATAGATGATAGGTAGATAGGTAGGTAGATAGATAGATAGTAGGTAGATAGATAGATAGATGGATGATAGGTAGGTAGGTAGGTAGGTAGATAGATAGATAGATAGATGATAGGTAGGTAGGTAGATAGATAGATAGTAGGTAGATAGATAGATAGATGGATGATAGGTAGGTAGATAGGTAGGTAGATAGATAGATAGTAGGTAGATAGATAGATAGATAGATGATAGGTAGGTAGGTAGGTAGGTAGATAGATAGATGGATGATAGGTAGATAGATAGATAGAGTGGGTGGGTAGGTAGATGGATGGATGGATGGATTCATGGATAGACAGACATAGACAGACAGATAGATAGATAGATAAGCAATAGTTAAATAATGAGACAGACAGACAGACAGACAGACAAAGATAGATAGATAGATAGATAGATAGATAGATAGATAGATAGATAATAGATAGGTAGGTAGATAGATGATAGGTAGGTAGATAGATGGTAGGTAGGTAGTTAGATAGATAGATATAGATAGATAGATGATAGGTAGGTAGGTAGATAGATGATAGGTAGATAGATAGATGGTAGGTAGGTAGGTAGGTAGGTAGATAGATAGATAGATAGATAGATAGATAGATAGATAGATAGATGATAGGTAGATAGGTAGGTAGGTAGGTAGATAGATAGATGATAGGTAAATAGATTATAGATGATAAATAAATAGATCGAAAAGTCAGATAGAGTTGATAGATAAATACTGTCCCCAAGTTATGACTAGAATTTGGTGCAGGATTTCTGTTGTTAAGCAAGGTCCTTGTTAAATGAGTCAGGCCTCATTTTATGACTTTTTTTGCCACAGTTGTTAAATAAATGACTGCGGTGTTAAACGAACCCCATGATCATTGAGTGAATCCAGCTCGCCTCTTTTGCTTTTGCTTGTCAGAGGCTGGCTGGGAAGGCCACCCGTGGCCATCACGTGGCCCTGAGATGCAGGGCCACGTTATAAATGCATCTCTGTCTTACCTAGCACCCACATTTTGATCCCGTGATCGCGAGGCTACTGCAAAAACTGCGCCGAGTTGCTTAACAACCATGGCAAAAAAAAAAAAAAAATTGGATCATTACATTGAATGTGATTCACTTAACAACCTCCTTGTTTAAGCCATGGGAAATTCTGGTTATAAGTCGAGGACTGCTTCTTTTTTTTTTTTTTTAAACCCCGCAGCCTTATAAATCTCCCTGATATTATTTGCACCGGTGAATTTGAAAATAAAATTATTCGCACCGGTGAATTTGAAAATAAAACCGGGTGGATTTTCTTGGAGTCTTAAGGGGGGGAAAAAACCCCCCACCTCCTGTTGTTTCTCTCCAAGTTTGGTTCAAGACGTAACTCTCCAAATATAGCAAGAGGGAGTGGCGTCAAAACTCTGAACTGAAAAAACTTGTTGGAACAGAGGTTTTGTTTTTCACTTCCCCCGTCGTCCCATCCAGGCAGACCAAAGTCCTCCAGCCGTTCAAACTTTTATTTTCTCGGAATAATTTCCTGCCCGGTTTTCTGAGTTCGGTGGCAGCCGACCAAGGGAATGAACCCTGGCCAAATTCTGCAAGATGCCCCCGTCCGAAAAATTGCCATTTTTGGCGGCACTCATGGCAATGAGCTGTCGGGGGTGTTTCTGGTTAAATCTTGGCAAGAAGACGGAGCAGAGATCGAAAGACCGGGGTTGAAGGTACGGCCTTTCCTGGCTAACCCACGAGCTGTGGAAAAATGCTGCCGTTATATAGACTGTGACCTGAACCGAGTGTTCGATTCCGAAAATCTTGGGTAAGCTTAAACCGGATGGGTTGTGTGTGCAGCGGTGGATTTCACATATTCTTACCACCAGTTCGCCCCGTGCTTTGCTCACGCGCGCGCCTTCCGAAAACGTGGCAAAATAGGATGGCATTATGCTGGGGTGGGATGCTACCGATTCGCCCGAACTGGTACGAACCGGCTGAATTCCACCTCTGATTGTGTGAATGCACGCCACAGGTTACGTGCACTTACCTTCGCTACCAGATCGCAAATGTGAGCGCGCGCGCCTCCTCCACGCATGCACAGCAGGGGTGGGTTCTACTTACCTTTACTACCGGTTCGCAGCGGGGCTTCGCTCGCGCGTGCGCTCTTCTGCACATGTGCAGAAGTGTTTTGATGACGTCGGGGTCAGTGGGCGGAGCCTCCCGCCGGTTTTACTACCGGTTCTATAGAACCGGTGCGAACCGGGGGCAACCCACCACTGATGCACAGAGCCTTCTGTACATGCGCCGAGGGTCAAAAACAGGACGTGATGATGTCCGGGTAGGTGGACAGAGCCTCCCGCAGCCGGCCCTACCGGATCACACAAGCCGGATAGATCCGGCTGAATTTCACCACTGATGTATGCATGCACAATGCCAGAACATTGGACTGAGTTTATATCTCCTGCGGTATATTTGTTTGTGGATGATTTACAGAATCATCGATGTATTTAAAAACGTTTATACAGGTTACGACTACGACGGAGGCCAACATTTCCCTCGCTAAGTGAGGCAGTTGGCGAGTGAGTTTTGCGGCCCATTTTGCAACCTTTTCTGCCACCGTTGTTAAGTGAATCGCTATCGAACGCCGGGAGATTCAGGCAGTTCCAATGAGCACAGGTAGTCCTCGAGTTGCGACCACAATTGAGCCCAAGATTTATGTCGCTAAGTGAAACATTTGCTGGCCCCATTTTACAGACATAATTTTGCATTTATTGATTAATTTTGTCATGTTCATTTAAGTGCATATTGGAGGGGGTGACGCTTTGAGAGCTGTATGCAACGAAATTTCATTTTAATGTATGCCGATTATTCTATTCTATTCTATTCTATTCTATTCTATTCTATTCTATTCTATTCTATTCTATTCTATTCTTTTCTTTTCTTTTCTTTTCTTTTCTTTTCTTTTCTTTTCTTTTCTTTTCTTTTCTTGCCAGAGTTGTTAAGTGAATCATTGCATTTGTTAAGTGAGTAACACGGTTGTTAAGTGAATCTGGATTCCCTTTGTTTGTCAGAAGGTCGCTAAGGAGATCATGTGACCCCGGGACACTGCGACCGTCATAAATATGAGTCAGTTGCCAAGCGTCTGAATTCTGATCATGTGACCGTGGGGATGCTGCAACGGTCGTAAGTGTGAAAAACGGTCATAAGTCACATTTTTTCACTGCCGTTGTAACTTTGAACAGTCACTAAATGAACTGTTGTAACTGGAAGACTACTACCTGTTTATGATGAACCCTTCTAGGCAGACAAATTAATCCTTAATTTTATTGCAGCATTTTCATGAAGATCTCCATTTGAAAAGAAACCAATCCGGCCCTGCTAATGCTTGGGAAAAAACATAATAAGAGATAACAGAATAGAAAAACAGATTTGGAAGGGACCTTGGAGGTCTTCTAGTCCAACCCCCTGCTCAAACAGAGAACCCTATACCCGTGATGGCGAACCTATGGCACACGTGCCACAGGTGGCACGCATAGCCATATCAGTGGGCATGCCAGCTCAGCTCAGCTCTGGCGAGCATGCGTGCACCGGCCAGCTGATTTTCGGGCCTTCTGAGCCATCTACTAGAGAGGCTCTGGAGGCTGGGGACAGCAAAAAAGTCACTTCCTGTCCAACTGGGAGTTGGAAAATGGGCCACTTCAGGCCTCCAGAGGGCCTCCAAGGGATGGGGAAGGCTGTTTTCGCCCTCCCCAGATGCATAGAGAGGATCTGGAGCCAGGTGAGAAAGAAAAATGGGCCTACTGGGCCATCACGGGCCAGGAGCGGGGGGGGAGGGGGTTGCACGCACATGCGCAGGGCGGGGCACATGGAATTATGGGTGTGAGCATGCATGCGCCCGAACCTCTCCCTCCCCCCTCTCCTGGCACACGATGGCAAAAAGGTTAGCCATCACTAGTGATGGCTAACCTTTTTGCCATCGGGTGCCAGGAAGGGGTGGGGTGGAGGAAGTTTGCCCGTGTGTGTGCCCACACCCATAATTCTATGTGCCCCGCCACGCACATGCAAGCGCGACCCCCCTTCCCCCCCCTCCTGGCACACGATGGCCCAGTAGGCCCATTTTTCTTTCTCACCTGACTCCAGATCCTCTCTATGCATCTGGGGAGGGCAAAAACAGCCTTCCCCACCCTCTCGGAGGCTGGAAGTTGAGAAACGGGCCGTTTCGAGCCTCCGAGGGGGTGGGGAAGGCTGTTTTCACCCTCCCCAGATGCATAGAGAGGATCTGGAGCCAGGGAGAAAGAAAAACGGGCCTTCCCCCCCCCGCCCAGGCCCTCTTCTGGTGGGCCCAAAAGGGCCAAAAATCAGCTGACAGAGCTGAGCTGACGTGCCAGGCAACATGACTCCGCGTGCCACCTGTGGCACACGTGCCATAGGTTCGCCATCACGGCCCTACACCATTTCAGACAAGCGTCTGTCCAGTCTTTTCTTAAAAACCTCCGCTGATGGGAGCATCTGTAACTTCTGGAGGCAACACCGATTCGCCGTTTTGTCGAGAAATTTCTCCTTATTTCAGTTGCTTCTCTCCTTGATTAGTTTCGACCCAATGCTTTTTTGTCCTGCCTTCGGGTGCTTTGGAGAATTGTGGACCTCTGATTTTGTTTTCCGCTAAATAAGCAAAGTTCACAGGCTCCGCAATCTTTTACGCCGTTATTTGCACGCACCAAAGGATCAGTAAAATTTGGAAATCAAACTAGATACTTCTTTAACCCCCGACATGCTTCGTTTCCGTCTTCGGCCTCACCGATGTTGCCAGCACTCCCTCGAAGAGCTGGTGGGGGACAGCAATTTGAAGCTTCGGTGTTGAAATAAGTCATAATCCTCCACGGGGGTAGAAAAAAATTTACAGCTCTTGAAAATGCTTTCCTTGGCTCGCAGCCTTTTTTTGCTAAATACCAAGAACCGGGCAGCCAATTCCATGCAGCTAACGATTATTTGGACACAGCAGGCAGGCCAAGAGGTATGTTAGACCACATTTTGAAAAAAAAAAGATAAATTTGCAAAAAAAACCTGCTTGCTAGATGCATTTGGATGCCCTGGAACCTCTAAAATAGATCTTGTATCGAAAGCGATTCATTTCATTTATTCTACCTCCAAGTACATTGAACTGTTGTGGAAATCTATACGTGCAGAATATATTTGGGTGGTTGAAGCAACCAAATTTTAGTCCCAATGGTGCTTATTCTGGAGGCAACTGGAATTCTTGTTTTCTTTGAAGAGGTTTCGCTTCTCATCCAAGAAGCTTCTTCTGCTCTGACTGGATGGTTGTTGTGACCTAAGCTCACTTAGTCATTACAAGACACAATTAGTCCCCAACAAAACTATTTTATTATAACAGGTGAGAATTACTACATTCCCATCTTAGTCCAAATTAATTACAAAACAGTCCTTCAGAAAAAGTCCTTCGGGCTTATCACAAACCTTTATCTTCTTTGGCACCCTGCCAACGGCCTTTCTTGGCAAAGCCCCACGAAGTTCAGAAACAAGAGACACCAACTGGAAACAGATTTAGCAATGTTGCTTTCCTACAAAGAGCCCAAGAGTCTTTGCTGCTCTTTTAAGCCTCATGGGAGGGGCCAATCATCTCCTGGCCTTACTCCTGAGTTGTCCCTTTTGCTTTAGCTGCTCCTGCCTTCTGGCAGCTCTTCTCATGCGTGCACTAGGAACAGGCTCCTCCTGTTCCTCTGCCTCTCTGCTGTCCGACTCTGGCGGCTCCGGAGTCCGCGCATCACTCCCAGATGGCCCTGGCTCCATCTCTGCCTCCAACGCAGAGCCCTTGTCCGGGCCTTCCCCAGACTCCAGGACTGGCCCATGGTCCTCTCCAGCCTCCTCACTGTCCGACTCCGCTGCCAGCTCCGCAGCCTGCTGGTGGACCACAACAATGGTGGAGAATGGAAGGTTTTATATCCCTTGCAGACACCTGGTCATTTGCATCCTTTTAGAGGGTCACTGATGCACAGTGCTGAAGAAGCTTCTTGGATCAGAAGGGAAACGTCTTCAAAGGAAAAACCAAAAAGTCCAGTTGCCTCCTGAAAAAGCACTTTTGGGACCTGGACGACTGAGAATCTCTACAGACTTTTAATCAAATTTTAGGTTTGAGAGTCACTTTGGCCAAGTGATTAGGGCAGGAGCCAGGAGCCAGTAAGTTCTAGTCCTGTACCAACAAAGGAGAATATTTGTAGCTCGGGGTTGTAATGAGGGGTCCTTGTTACTCTCTGAGCTTTATTTATTTATTGTTTATTGGTTCGATTTATATGCCGCCCTTCTCCGGAGACTCAGGGCGGCTTACAATGTGTTAAGCAATAGCCTTCATACTTTTGTATATACCTGCTTAGTAGGGCTTTCGGCCCCCCCTAAGCGGTGTTCTTTTTTATACAAAGTCAGCTTATTGCCCCCACAATCCGGGTCCTCATTTTACCTACCTCGGAAGGATGGAAGGCTGAGTCAACCTTGAGCCTGGTGAGATTCGAACTCGCAGTAATTGCAGGCAGCTGGCAACTAAGTGCTACTTAACAGCACTTTAGTCCGCTGCACCACCAAGGCTGTTATCGAAGCTTCCTTCTTTTCTTGCGGAAAAATGTAAAAATGGGGCAAAACTCACTTAACGAATTTCTCACGTAGCAAGAGGGCACAATTGGGGGTCGTAAGTCAAGTCAGGTCATGGCCATTTGCAATCTGCCCAGCTGACGTCAAACGAGCAAAGTCAATGGGGTATCCAGATTCATTTAAGAACGGTGCAGTGGTGGGATTCAAATCATTTAACAGCTGGTTCTCTGCCCTAATGACCAGCTGGGTGGGTGTGGCCATGGTAGGCGTGTCCAGGGGTGTGTGACAGGCAGCACTCGGCCTCCTGCACCCCCCTGGGAGCAAACACGGGCCTCGGGGGGGGGACACACACACACCAGAGGTGGGTTTCAACAGGTTCTGAGCAGAACCGGTAGCGGAAATTTTGAGTAGTTCGGAGATAGTGTTGCCAGGTGTCCACTATTTGAGTGGACAGTCCGCTTTTTTCACATGATGTTCACTATTTTTTTTTCACAAAATAGTGGACATTTTTTTTATTCAAAAGCTTTATGATGAAATTAAAATGTAATTTAATATTTTACATATTATTATAATATATTTTATGTTTTGAATTTTAAGTAAAGTTTTGAAGTGATTATTTTAATACGTGTTAAAATGTTTGTAAGAAAATATATAATTTAATTGTAATTTTTTTAAAAAAATTTACTACTTAAACCCCCCCCCCACCTCCGCTTGTCCGCTATTTTTTGGAAGCAGACCTGGCAACCCTATAAATCGGAGAACCGGTAGTAAAAATTCTGACTGGCTCCACCCCCATCTATTCTCTGCCTCCCAGGTCATAGCTGACCAGGAGGAAATGGGGATTTTGCAATATCCTTCCCCTGAATTTTTGGAGGGAATGGAGATTTTGCAGTATCCTTCCCCCGGAATGGGGTAGGAATGGAGATTTTACAGTATCCTTCCCCTGCCACGCCCACCAAGCCATGCCACGCCACGCCACACCCACCAAGCCACACCCACAGAACCGGTAGTAAAAAATTTTGAAACCCACCACTGGGTCACACGCTCTACCGTGCCAAATTTTGGGCCTAGTAGGCTTCCCGGCAGCCTCCTGGGAGCAAAAGCGGGCCGCGGGAGGGGGGGCGCTGCACCCCCTGCGCCCCATTTTGGGCTTAGGAGGTCTTTCTGCACTTAAGTGGCAGCCAAAATGGGACGCGTCACGTGGGGACTCCTGGAAGGGGCGGGGAAGGGCCACTCAGCAATTTAAGTACCGGTTCGCGCGAACCGGCTGAATCCCACCACTGGAACCGTGGCAAAAAAGGTCGTAATATCAGATATGATTCACTTAACAACTGTTTTGTTTGGAAACGTAAATTGTGGACTAGTGGACCTCCAACAGAACTCTGCTGTTCTGTTAAATGCACTGAGGGATGAGTAAGGCGCTGGCAGAAGCTACTCTACCAATAAAAAATAGTTCTGGCATAGTTTGGAAGAGAAGTTGGTGTCATTTCTTTCTTCCTACCCCCCCCCCCCATCAACAGGTGCCCAGTGGAATTTCTTGCTGGTCACACATAATGATGGTTTTTCTTAAGCCCTTCTACAACGGGAAGGGCTGTAACCCAAGAAACTTTGAAATCAATTCGTTTTGCCAAATACCTTCCATTGCTATCGTTGCTCCATCCTTCCTGATCCCATTTCAGCTTCCAGCAGCTGCTTTTCGTTTCAAAATGCACATCAAAAGGAGAGAGAGAAAGAGAGAGAGAAGAGAGGGAAGGAGGGAGGGGGAGAGAGAGAGAGGAAAGTGAAAGGAAAGGAAAGGAAAGGAAAGAAAGAGGAAAGGAAAGGAAAGGAAAGAGGCAGAAGGGAAGGAAAGGAAAGGAAAGGAAGGGAAAGGAAAGGAAAGGGAAGGAAGGGTAGGGAAGGAAAGGAAAGGAAAGGAAAGGAAAGGGGCAGAAGGGAAGGAAAGGGAAGGAAGGGAAGGGAAGGGAAGGAAAGGAAAGGAAAGGAAAGGAAAGAAAGGAAAGAGACAGAAGGAAAGGAAAGGAAAGGAAAGGAAAGGGAAAGGAAAGGGAAGGGAAGGGTAGGGAAGGAAAGGAAAGGAAAGGAAAGGAAAGAGGCAGAAGGAAAGGAAAGGAAGGGAAGGAAAGAGACAGAAGGGAAGGGAAGGGAAGGAAAGGAAAGGAAAGGAAAGGAAAGGAAAGGAAAGGAAAGGAAAGGAAAGAGACAGAAGGAAAGGAAAGGAAAGGAAAGGAAGGGAAAGGAAAGGAAAGGGAAAGGCAGAAGGGAAGGGAAGGGAAGGAAAACCCCAAACCTGCTCCTTATCAGCAGTTGAGCAAAAATGCCATCTCATATTAATGAATGTTAAGGAATGAAATCTTGAAATCTTGTCATCTAGTCCAACCCCCTCCCTAAGCAAGGAGACCCTACCCCATTTCTGACCGATGGCAGTCCAGTCTCTTCTGGAAAGCCTCCAGAGATGAAGCTCCCACAACTTCCGAAGGCAACTTCTGTTCCATGGGTTGATTGTTTCTCACTGTCAGAAAACTTCTCCTTATTTCTAGTTATTTCTAGATGAGAAACACCACTTTAGAAATTGGTGATGTACTCCTCTCTCATTCTCTCTCTCTCTCTCTCATCTCTCTCTCTCTCATCTATCATTTCTTCTCTCTCTCTCTCTCTCTCTCTCTCATCTATCTCTCTGTCTCTCTATCATTTCTCTCTCTGCTATCTATCTATCATCTATCTATCTATCTATCTATCTATCTATCTATCTATCTATGTCTGTCTGTCTATCTATATCTATCCCTTCTCTGGGTCTATCTAGCATCTCTCTGTCTCTCTGTCTCTCTCTCTCTGTCTCTCTCTCTCTCTCTCATCTCTCTCTCTCTCATCTATCATTTCTTTCTCTCTCTCTATCATCTATCTCTCTATCATCTCTATCATTTCTCTCTTCTTTCTATCTATCTATCTATCTATCTATCTATCTATCTATCTATCTATCTTCATCTCCCTGTCTGTCTGTCTATCTTCTATCTATATCTATCCCTTCTCTGGTCTATCTATCATCTCTCTGTCTCTCTGTCTCTCTCTTTCTAATTTCTGCCTCTTTCTTTCTCTTTACAGCTCTTCGCAGCGTCCTGCAATCAGGTGACTTCAATTTACGGTATTTTTCTTTTGCCGAAAAATACGGCATTTCCCTCTCGTGAAACACACCCATTGAGATGAAAAAAGGTGATAAAATTGGGTCCATAACGTGGGTGCCTCAAGTTTTTTTTTGTTGTTGATTTTTTATCATTTTTTAAAAAAAAAATATTTTTTTTTATTGAAAAGTTTTAAAAAGTTTTACAGACATTTCCCCTTCCCCCTCCCTCCTCCCTTTCCAACCCTCCCCTTCCCCTCCTCCCCCCCCCCCCGCTTCCCAGAGCAAAATACAGGGTATAACATTTGACAATCATAAGCTAACATAAGCTAATTATCTATAGCCTCCTATCCCGCTCTTGAACTTTTAACTCCCCTTTTACTAAACTAAACTTAAGTACTTTATAAAATCTCTTTGATCATTCATAAGCTATTTGAAATTTTTTAGTCCGATATTTGCCTTGAATATAATCAATCCATCTTCTCCATTCTAACATATATTTCTCATTTGAATGGTCCTTTAGATATGCTGATATTTTCGCCGTTTCTGCTAAATTTACTACTTTTAATGCCCATTCTTGAATAGTAGGTAAATCTTCCTTCCTCCAGTACTGCGCCACCAAGAGTCTTGCTGCAGTTATTAAGTTCAGAATCAAATTAGTCTCTATAGCCGTACGATCTGTAATGATACCTAACAAGAACAACTGGGGAGTAAACTTTATCCTTTTTAAAAAAATATTTTGAATAATCCACCATATTTTTATCCAAAATGCTTGAACTTTTTTACAAGCCCACCAAACATGGTAGCATCAACACAATCACATCTCCAACATTTGGGTTGTAGGTTTGGGTACATACAAGCTAACTTGTATCCTGTGTCTCAAGTTATAGCCGTCACGAACAGATATTTCAGTCTCCATTATGGTCGTAAGTCGAGGGCTACCTATAGAGTTTGCACCGAAGGCAAGTTGGGCTCCTTTTTCTTTTCTTTTTTTTTTTTTAATGACCCGGCTAAGTAACATTTCTTTGGGTTCTTCTGACCCACAGCAAGGACCTCACGGACAACGTCCCCTATGAAGTCAGAAGGGCCCAAGAAATCAACAACTTCTTCGGTCCGAAGGGCCAACCTGGCGCTTACGATCTGATCTTCGACCTTCACAACACGACCGCTAACATGGGTGGGACCCTCATCCTGGAAAGCTCCAGCGATTGCTTTGCCATTCAGATGTGCCATTATATACAGGTATTTTTTTTTAAAAAAAATGGAGAAATGTACAGGAAGTCCTCAACGTACGACCACGATCGAGCCCCAAATTTATGTTGTTAAGTGAGAAATTTGTGAAGTTTTACAACTTTTCTCTCCATATTTGTTAAGTGAATCGCTCACCATCATCGTTGAACGACCCCCCATAATCCCTTGCAGGGTGTTGTGGCTCCGTTACCTGAGCCCGTGTCATCAGCAGGAGAGGACTCTGAGAGTGAAGGAGGGGAGTTGGCAAGGCCTCCCTCTCCAGGACCCTCCTCTCTGGCAATGCCTCCGGTGTCCGCCGAAGGGCAAGAGATAGGGCCGGGGCCAAGCACGTCCATGCAGCCACAGGTGGACAGTGATGAGGGAGATGAGTCTTGGCTGGATCCACGCCAGCGTCGCAGAGATAAGTGCGCGCAACAGAAGAAAAGGCATGCCCGAGATTAGGCTGAGTCACTGGACCACACCCCACAGGATATAAAAGGGAGCGTGGTGGCCATTCAGACTCTGTGACGGACAAAACTAACTACTATCGAGTCACATTGCATCTTTGGAAAAAACATTATCTGCCTTGGATTTATTTTACGAACTGGACAATTCTTGAACTGTGGTATTTTGTTTATTGAGTAAAAGTTCTTGGCAAGCAGCTACTGGGTTGCTGCCAAGCGTCTTATCGGAAGAATTGGTTGTCTGCCAGTTTATTTAACCCCCGGCTGTCTGTTTGTGTGCGTGCGTGTGTGAGACGGGGACAGAACACAGGGTAGAGTCTGGGCAATGAATGGAACTAGCAGAGCGTTTTCATGGCCGGATGCCCTTCCTGTCGCCAATGAGGAGTTTTGTTCGGCAGATATATTCTCAGTGTGCCCAGAGAGCGAGAAATAACTGCTTCTACCTAGGATTGAACTCACAACCTTCCAATGGTATGGCAAAAGCTCAACCTCTAGGCCACCACACCGCTCCGTGTTAGGTGAATCACTGCAGTTCTTAAATTAGTAACACGGTTGTTAAGTGAATCTGGCTTCCCCGTTGACTTTGCTTGTCGGAAGGTCGCAAAAGGGGATCACCTGACCCCAGGGACACTGCGACCGTCATAACTGTGAGTCAGTTGTCAAGCATTTGAAAGTAAATCACGTGACTGCAAGGATGCTGCAAGTGAACTGTTGTAAATTGAGGACTAAATGTATTTGCACTGTGAATGAGACGGGTGATCTCAACGTTTGATATATAAATGTATGAATAAACAATTACAGGTAGTCCTGGACTTACAACCACAACTGAACCCCAGGTTTCCATTGCAAAGCGAGACAGTTGTTAAGTGAGCTTTGCCCCATTTTACGACCTTTCTTGCCCCCGTTGTTAAGTGAATCATTGCAGTTGTTCAGTTAGTGACCTGGTTGTTAAGTGAATCTGGCTTCCCTTTTGGCTTTGCAAGTCAGAAGGTCGCAAAAGTGGATCACATAACCCCGGGACACTGCAACTGTCATAAATACAGGTAGTCCTCGACTTACAACAGTTCATTTAGTGACCGTTCAAAGTTACAACGGCACTGAAAAAGCGACTTATTACTGTTTTTCAAACTTATGACTGTTGCAGCATCCCCGTGGTCATGTGATTCAGACATTTGGCAACTGACTCATACTTACGACGGTTGCAGTTTCCCGGGTTACGTGATCCCTTTTTGCGACCTTTTGACAAGCAACATCCGTGGGGAAGCCAGATTCACTTAACAACCGTGTCATTAACTTAACGACTGCAGTGATTTACTTAACAACTCTGGCAAGAAAAGTCGTAAAACTCACTTAACAAATTTCTCACCTAACAATATAAATGTTGGGCTCAATTGCGTTTCGTAACTAGAGGACTACCTGTCTGAGCCAATTGCCAAGCTTCTGAATCTTGATCGTGTGACCACAATGTTGCTACAACTGCCATAACTGTGGGAAAACGGTCAACCATTATTTTTTTCAGTGCTATGGTAACTTGGAATGGTCATTAACTGAACTGTCGTAAGTCGAGGACTACCTGTAGCAACGCTGATATTGGGGTACGAAGACCGCGTCTCAAAGAGAGAAGCAACCTGGAATTAAGAAGAAACTTCCTAACAGTGAGGACAATTAACCAGTGGAACAACTTGCCACGAGATATTGTAACTTATCTGAAATAGTATAGGGCTGTGATGGCGAACCTATGGCATGCGTGCTACAGGTGGCACACGGAGCCATATCTGTGGGCACGCGAGCGTTGCCCTAACTGAGCTCCAGCGCACATGCGCGTGCCGGCCAGCTGATTTTTGGGCCTTCCGGGCCCACCGGAAGTCAGGAAATGGGCTGTTTCCGGCCTTCGGGGTGTGTGTGTCGGGAAGGCCATTTTCGTCCTCCCCAGGCTCCTAGAAAGCCTCTGAAGCCTGGGGAGGGCGAAAAGCGGGCCTACCGGGCCCACTGTGCCATTGCATGCCAAAAGCAGAGGGCCCTTGGGGGGGGTGTTGCTTGTGCATGTGCGGTGGGGGCGGGGCGCATTGAATTATAGGTGTGGGCACGTGTGTGTGTGACCCCTCCGCGCTCCCCTCGCTTTTGGCACACGACGGCAAAAAGGTTAGCCACAGTGGTGGGCTTCAGCCAGTTCGCACCTATTCGGGAGAACCGCTTGTTAACTTTCTAAGCAGTTTGGAGAACCGGTTGTTGGAAGAAATCTTATTTTGTTTTTTCCCCACTTTACAGAGCTAATCCTGTAAGGAAGGCAGAAAGGAAACATTCTGGTGGTGTTTCTAGCCTAATCTTTATTGCCCTGCTTACAGAAACTGCCTCTCTGGTTAACCCTTATTACATTGTAACAGTGAGTGACGTTGAGTTGGCCATGCCCACATGGACATTAGGGCAGGGAACCGGTTGTTAAATTATTTGAATCCCACCACTGGTTAGCCATCACTGGTATAGGTTCTTCTGCTTGAGCGGGGGGGGGGGGGGCTGGACTAGAAGACCTCCAAGGCCCCTTGCAGATTTGATTTGATTCTATTCTAGCTTGTACGAGGACTGCTTTGTATTCAGACCAATAAGACCTTGTTGGAAAACGGCCAAGGCTGGTGTGTTCTGTGTGTTAAATCACAAGAGCGAAGCCCCCTCCCCCGGCAATTAACTTCGCTGCGTGCCGGAAATTAATGAAGGCCGTTGTAGTGCTAATTCATCAACCGGAGAGAAAATTAGAGCTTGTCGCGTTATCTATTTTAAACGACCGGTTGAATGTTGCAAACGAGTTGAGCAAAACTCAGGCAGCTCCATTATTTTCAGGGGCATCCGCCTGGTGTGTGTATGTGTGTCTCTCTCTCTCTTTGTGTGTGTGTGTGTGTGTCAAAATGGTGGGTGTGTCATTACAACCCGCCTCTCCAGCCCGTGTGTTTTGCACGCCTTTTATTCCTTAAATTTATTTATTCGTTAAATTTATGTGCCGCCCGTCGCCAGCAGTGAAGAGATGACGGGTGGCTTACAAAAGGATTTGCAGGTGTTATATCGCACACACAGAGTTAGTCCTCGGTTTACGGCAGTTCATTTAAACGACCGTTTCAAGTGATGATAGCACTGGAAAAAAAGTGAATCGGGCCCATTTCGCACAATTACAATCGTTGCAGAATCCCCGTCATTGCATGATCAACATTAAAGATGATTGGCAACTGGCTCATATATATTTATGACGGGTTGCAGGACACGTGATCCCCTTTTGTGGCCTTTTGACGAGCAAAGTCAGGATCACAATCAGAATAGAGCTGGAAGGGACCTTGGAGGTCGTCTAGTCCAGCCCCCTGCTCAAGCAGGTGATCCTATACCCATTTCAGACAAGTGACTGTCTAATAATCTCTTTTTAAAAACCTCCATTGATATGAAGCACCCACTACTTCTGGTGGCAGGCTGTTCCACTGGATAACTGTCCTCAGTGTTGGATGGATTAAGTTTCTCCTTAATTCCATGTTGCTTCTCTCCTTGGTTAGTTTCCATCCATGGGGAAGTCAGATTCAGTTAACCACCTGTGTTACTCGCTGAACAACTGCAGTGATTCACTGAACAACTGTGTCACTCACAGTCATAACTCAGCTGTCTCACTTAGCAACAGGAAATGTTGGTTGTACAATTGTGGTCCTAAATCGAGGACTACCCAGATAATGAGAACCATTAAACCATTTTTTTTCTACAATAGGATGCTGTGTCCCCAGACAGATGTCTGGTCTTACTTCTCGAACATCCCAACTTGAAATACGCAACGACTCGATCAGTAGCAAAACATCCAATTGGTAATTATGATGATTATTAACCCCATTCCATTTTTAGCAAACGTCCTTGGGTTTCTAGACACGTTTCCATAATTTAGTTATTGGATTCGGGTGGTCCTCGACTTACAACCATTCGTTTAACGACTGTTCAAAGTTACAGTGGCACAGTCCGCGCACTTATGACCATCTCAGCATCATTGCCTGATCAAAATTTGGGTGTTTAAATTAATGACAGCCACAGCATCCCATTTCCGTGGGATCGCCGTTCCTGATCTTCCCAGACAGCTTCCGACAAGCAAAGTCATCAAAGCAAGCCAGATTTGCTTAACGACCACCCGATTCACTTAGCAACTGCAGTGATTCACTTAACAACTTTGGCTGAAAAGATCATAAGGAGTGTGTGGGGGGAAAACTCAATTAATACCCGTCCTTGCTTAGGAAGAGGAATGTTGGGCTCCATTGGGATCATAAGTCGAGGACTACCTGAAAATTTCATAAAACACCAATAAATATTAATATTTATAATGTAAATATATATTTAGATTTATATATTTTATATATTAATTAATGTTAAATTATATATTAAATATGTATTATTTTATTTGTTATATGTCGATATATTAATAAATTAATATATTATATGTTATATATTATATTGTTGTATATATTATACAATTATACATATATTATTATTATTATGTATATATTATATTATATTATATTATATTATATTATATTATTATATTATATTATTATATTATATTATTATATTATATTATATTATATTATATTATATTATATTATATTATATTATATTATATTATATTATATTATTATATTATATTATTATATTATATTATATTATATTATATTATATTATATTATATTATATTATATTATATTATATTATATTATATTATATTATATTATATTATTATATTATATTATATTATTATATTTTAATGTTTTAAATTTTTGGGCCATAGTTATTTAATTCTTTTAATTCTTTTAAATTTTGTATTGATATGTGTTTTAGTTCTGGCTGTGCACCACCCTGAGTCCACTTGGAGAAGGGCGGGATATAAATTGAATAAAATAAAATAAATAATAAAAATAAATTATTATATTATATCATATTATATCATGTCATGTCATGTCATATCATATCATGTCATATTATGTTATATTGAATTATAATATATTGAATTATATTATTGTATATATTAAACTATATTACATTACAGTATATTGAATTATACATCTAATATTATATAACATTAAGACAATATTAATAAATAATTAATATATTGCAGGCTGAAGGCCTCTTCGACATGTACAGGTTGGAAACATGCAGAGGAGACCTTCATCCTGCAGTGGCTAAAAACGACAATGATGATGGTATTAATATATAATAAATTTTTTTTTTTAAAAAAAATCATAAATAAATGATAGAAGAGGACCGTGTCTTCTCCGGTGTCCCCAAGGGAGAAGTGTTGACGGTTCCTTGCTTTCTTCTCCAGGTGTTGAAGTGGGCCCTCAGCCTCAAGGTGTCCTGAGGGCTGACATTTTGGATAAAATGAGGACGATCGTCCGACACGGGCTGGATTTCGTGGCAAAATTCAATGCAGGTACAGCGTTATAAGGTAGTCCTTGTCATTTATGGTCCCACGCAGGTTGCGAGTGGAGATGTCATTTTTTTTAAACCCCGCCAACCCTTTTTCTAGAACCTTCTCAGCCTCTTCACTGTTTTAAGGGGTTTTTTTTACGTTGTTGGTTTTTAGGAAAAAATAATATTTAGTATATTCCAGAAAAGTTAGAATGACTTAGAATAACTGTATTGTCCCTTTGAATGTCCACTAATCGGCATACATTAAAATAAAATGTCGTTGTGTACAGCTCTCAAAGGGTCACCTCCTCCAATATACACTGCATAAACATTCCTCCAAGCTTTCCTGTCCTCTACCATCCCCCGGAGCCATATCTGTGGGCACGTGAGCATTGCCCTAGGTCGGCTCCAGCGTGCATGCGTGCACCGGCCAGCTGAGTTTTGGGCCTTCCGGGCCCACCGGAAGTCAGGAAATTGGCTGTTTCCGGCCTCCAGAGGGCCTCCGGGGGGGTGGGGAAGGCTGTTTTCGCCCTCCCCAGGCTCCAAAAAAGCCTCTGGCGCCTGGGGAGGGCGAAAAACGGGCCTACCAGGCCCACAGGTAACCTTTTTGCTGTTGTGTGCCAAAAGCAGGGGAAGCACGAAGGGGGGGGGTTGCGCGCACATGCACAGGGGGGAGGGCATGGCATGGGGGGCATTGAATTGTGGATGTGGGCACACACACGCGCGACCCCCACTTTTGGCACATGACGACAAAAAGGTTAACCATCACTGACCTATAAGGTCCCTTCCAACTCTGTTAATCTGTGTCACGCAATGTAAAATGTTACTTTCTGGGAAAAGTGTTTATAACTATTATAATAATTTAACAAAGTTGGAAGGGACCTTGGAGGTCTTCTAGTCCAACCCCCTGCTTAGGCAGGAAACCGTATTCCATTTCAGACAAAGGGTTGTCCAACCTCTTTTTAAAAACCTCCAGTGTTGGAGCATTCACAACTTCTGGTGGCAAGCTGTTCCACTGGTTAATTAATTAATTAATTAATTAATTAATTAATTAATTAATAAAATTTTTATACCGCCCTTCTCCTGCTGGACTCAGGGCGGTGCACAGCCAAAATAAAAACATCCCAATACAAAATTTAAAATTTGTTAAAAGAATTACACAACTTTGGCCCAAAATTTAAAACATCCCAACTAAAACCCATATGTCAGGTTTCGATGTCATCTCAAATAAATTGCACTCCCAAACAATTAATCTTTCCTGAAATATTCCATTTATTGAGTACAACAGATCTGGCCCCGACTTAGTCGTAGCCAATACTAACCCTCTGACCCCCAAACCCTTCCCTTTCCGTTCCCCAATTCTCATCTTCTCACTGGCCATCTTCCAAGTCAGTCTCCCCAGCTTCTGACTTCAACCCACAGGAATGTTCCCCCCACCATCCCATCTCCTAGGGGATATTATCTACAGAGAAATAAGTAGGTGAAAAGTCAAGCCTCGTCTTTTTATGGCAGCATCAGAATGCTGACATCATAGACAATTAAAAAACTAACATCTCAAAAGGCGGGGGGGTTTACGCCAGCCCTGCTTGGTGGAAAAGAAAAGTTTTTAGGAAATGGCGAAAAGCCTGGAGATCTGGTATCGTGCGTATCTCCAGAGGCAGGTCGTTCCAGAGGGCAGGTGCTGCCACAGAAAAGGCCCTCCCCCTGGGGGCCGCCAGCCAACACTGCCTGGCTGACGGCACCCTGAGGAGTCCTTCTCTGTGGGAGCGTACTGGCCGGTGGGAGGCTATCGGCGGCAGAAGGCGGTCCCACAAATACCCCGGCCCTAAGCCATGGAGCACTTTAAAGGTGGTAACCAACACCTTGAAGCGCACCCGGAAGACCACCGGGAGCCAGTGCAGCTCACGCGGGAGAGGTGTTACATGGGTTCAACGTGTCGCCCCCATAATCCCCCGCGCGGCCGCATTCTGGACCAACTGGAGCCTCCGGGTGCTCCTCAAGGGGAGCCCCATGTAGAGAGCGTTGCAGTAGTCCAGGCGGGAAGTGACGAGGGCGTGAGTGACTGCGCGTAAGGAGTCCCGATCCAGAAAGGGACGCAACTGGCGAATCAGGCGAACCTGATGAAAAGCCCCCCTGGCCACGGCCTTCATATGCTCTTCTAAAGACAGCCGTGTATCCAGGAGGACGCCCAAGTTGCGAGCCCTCTCCATGGGGGCCAATAACTCGCCCCCAATAGTCAGCTATGGCACCAGCTGGCTATATCGGGACGCCGGAAGCCACAGCAACTCTGTCGTGGAAGGGTTGAGTCCTCACTGTCAGGAAATTTCTCCTTAGTTCTAAGTTGCTTGATTATTTTCCACCCATTGCTTCTTCTTGTCCTGCCCTCAGGTGCTTTGGAGAAATTGCTAAAGATAAATATTTCTTATGGGTTTTTTAACTTCTTGACCATTACTTCTAACCTTTTATGACGAGATAAAATCTAATCCCTAAAGTTCACAAGATGCAAATAAAAGAGATTTTCTTTAAAAAAAATAAATTCTATTGTATGCACAAGGTAGAACTTTATAAGGGGTGACATGAAAATTTCACCCTTCAGCATCCCCATTGTAAGAAAAAGGGGGTTGATTGGGAAGTTTCCAATCATCAGATCTAATTGCAGTTTAAGGATTTAGTTTGCTTCAACAAATAATCCGTCGTAGTGGCTGAAAACGTTATCAGCAACGGCATCTCTAAAACAAGGTCAGCTGTTTGGCACGAACCCCTGAAAATATGCACCGTTTTCTTTGTAGGAGAAGAATTCCCTCCATGCACCGTTGAGGTTTATAAATTATTGGAGAAAGTTGATTATCCCAGGAACCAAAAAAATGAGATTATGGCTGTCATTCACCCTCATTTACAGGTAAACACGTGTGATTATTCTTCTCTTTTTAACAGCTGCAGTGGGAAATCTAACGTGGGTTAGTACAGGTAGTCCTCGACTTACGACCACAACTGAGCCCCAGATTTCTGTGGCCGAGCAAAACTGAGTTTTGCGGATCAATTTTACCACATTTCTTGCCACATCCGTTAAGTGAATCGCTGCAGTTGTTAAGTGAGCAACGTAGTTGTTAAGTGAACCCTACAGTCCTCCTCCTCCTCCTTTTCTCCCTTCTAGCACTGATGATGTTACCGAGTTGGGTCATGAAATGTCCGCAAGAAAACCCAAGTCACAGAACACCAAGGAACCCACAGTCCTCCTCCTCTTCCTCCTCTCCCTTTGCTGCAGTTGTTAAGTGAGCAACATAGTTGTTAAGTGAATCTGGCTTCCCCCTTGACCTTGCTGGTCAAAACGGGATCATCACATCATCACCCTGCGACACTGCAACAGTCACAAGTACATGCCAGTTGCCAAGCATTTGGAATTTTGATCACATGACCATGGGGATACTCCAACGGTCATGTGAAAAGGGGTCATAATACCTCACTTTTTTCAGTGCCTTTGTAACTTTGAACGGTCACTAAACGAATGAATGGTAAGTCAAGGACTACCTGCATAGGAAATGTGGGGTTTGCTCTGTTTACTGGGTGTGGTTTTGGCTGTTTCTTTATTAGGCTGTTGTTTACGGTTTGATTGTTTGTCTGACTTGGTAGTTTGTTGTTTCGATGAAGAAAGACGTGTTTTGTTTTGTTTTTAATTGAAAAGTTTTACAAAAAGTTTACATATTTCCCCCCCCCCTTCCCTACCTCAACCTCCCCCCTCCCCCCTCCTCTTCCCAGAACAAATTACAGGGTATAACCTTCAACAATCATAATCAATCCTAGTCTAAATAATTATGACATTCCACATCTCTTGTTCCTTCAATTCCCTAATTACCCGGCTAGCTTTATTACTTAAAGACACACCAAATATCTATCTATCTATCTATCTATCTATCTATCTATATATATATATTTTAAATTTGATTTATATGCCGCCCTTCTCCGAAGACTCAGGGCGGCTTACAATGTGCTCAGCAATCATTCATCATTCATAACCTATCTGCAATTTCTTATTCCGGTATTTATTTTGAATATAATCTATCCATCTTCTCCAGTCTCTTAAATATCTTTCGTTTGAATGAGCCTTCAAGTACGCCGAGATTTTTGCCATTTCCGCTAGGTTTGTAGCTTTCATTGTCCACTCTTGGATTGTAGGTAAATCTTGCTTCTTCCAATATTGTGCCACCAACAGTCTTGCTGCAGTTATTAAGTTCAAAATCAATTTAGTCTCTATAGGCACCTTGTTGAAGGCACACCGACCTCATCCAAAAGGCTCCCTTTATTGTCATTTTACAACTCCCATGGCAAAACATTTATTTATTTATTTATTTATTTAATTAAATTTCTATACCGCCCTTCTCCAAAAAGGACTCAGGGCGGTACACAGCCAGAGTAAAAACAGAGCATACAAAATTTAAAAACAGTATTAAAATAATTAAATAGTTTGGCCGTAAATTAAAACAACCCAATTTAAAATCAATTTAAAATTAAACTCAAGCCAGCCCAGCTAGTTGAAATCAATAGGTTTTCAGGGCCCGACGAAAAATCCGGAGGTCTGTTATTGTACGTAACTCTGGGGGGAGGTTGTTCCAGAGGGTGGGCGCCGCCACAGAGAAGGCTCTCCCCCTGGGGGTCGCCAGCCGACATTGTCTGGCGGACGGCACCCTGAGGAGGCCCACTCTGTGCGAGCGTACTGGCCGGTGGGAGGCTATTGGTGGCAGAAGGCGGTCTCATAAGTACCCCGGCCCTAAGCCATGGAGCGCTTTAAAGGTGGTCACCAACACCTTGAAGCGCACCCGGAAGACCACCGGGAGCCAGTGCAGCTCGCGCAGGAGAGGTGTCACATGGGAGCACCTCGTCGCCCCCATAATCCCCCGCGCGGCCGCGTTCTGGACCAGCTGGAGCCTCCGGGTGCAGCCCAGGGGGAGCCCCATGTAGAGAGCGTTGCAGTAGTCCAGGCGGGAAGTGACTAGTGCCTGAGTGACTGTGCGTAGAGAATCCCGATCTAGAAAAGGACGCAACTGGCGTATCAGGCCAGTTTACTTGTACTGATTGGCTAAAGAAGGCTCGTGAATTCCACGTGGACCCCTCGTGTTTCCCTCATGTTCTTCCTGTGACAAACAATTGCCTACGTGCCGGGTCCCCATGCCTTGCATATCTGAGATAGGGTCTCTGCCAGACATCCTGTCTTTACATTCCTGATGAGATTAGGACTTTGTGCTGACGTTGTTTACTCAGCGTGGTTTGCCGGCCACTGAGATCACACCATCCCCACGGTAGTTCCTTGATTGGGGAATTGTGCTGACAAGGCCAGACATCTATATCTAGGAGCCTTGATAGTACAGTGGTTTAATGCACCCTGTTATTAACACAGCTGCCTGCAATTTCTGCAGGTTCGAATCTTACCAGGCTCAAGGTTGACTCAGCCTTCCATCCTTTCTAAGGTAGGTAAATTGAGGACCCAGTTTGTGGGGGCAATAAGCTGACTTTGTATAAAAAATATACAAAAGGATGAAGGCTATTGCTTAACGCCTTGTAAGCCGCCCTGAGTCTCTGGAGAAGGGCGGCATATAAATCAAATTAAAATAAAAATAAATAAATAAATAATATATATATAAGTAGAGAGCAAACTCCACTCCTTTCTAGCACTGATGATGTTGCCTAATCAGGTAATGAAATGACTGCAAGAAAACCACCAAGGTCAGAGAGCACCAAGGACTCCACCCCCCTCCTTCTCCCTCATCTTCTCGCACTGATAATGTTCCCTAGTTCGGTAGTGAAACATCTGGAAGAAAACAAACCAAGCTCAGATAGCACAAGAACCCTACAGTGCTCCTCCTCCTCCTTCGCTCCCTTCTAGCACTGATGGTGTTACCTAGTTGGGTCATGAAATGTCTGCAAGAAAACCAAGGTCAGAGAACACAAAGTCCTGGTCCTGGTCCTGGTCCTTCTCCTCCTCCTCCTCCTCCTCCTCCTTTTTCTTCTTCTTCTTCTTCTTCTTCTTGGTCTCTTTCTCTCTTTCTCTTTCTCTTTCTCCTTCTCCTTCTCCTTCTCCTTCTCCTTCTCCTTCTCCTTCTCCTCCTCCTCCTCCTCCTCCTCCTCCTCCTCCTCCTCCTTCTTCTCCTTCTCCTTCTTCTTTTTCTTCTTCTTCTTCTTCTTGGTCTTCTTCTCCTTCTCCTTCTCCTTCTCCTTCTCCTTTCTCCCTTCTCCTTCTCCTTCTCCTTCTCCTCCTTCTCCTTCTCCTTCTCCTTCTCCTTTTTCTTTTTCTTCTTCTTCTTCTTCTTGGTCTCTTTCTCTTTCTCTCTCTTTCTCTTTCTCTTTCTCTTTCTCTTTCTCTTTCTCTTTCTCTTTCTCTTTCTCTCTTTCTCCTTCTCCTTCTCCTTCTTCTTTTTCTCCTTCTTCTTCTTGGTCTTCTTCTCCTTCTCCTTCTCCTTCTCCTTCTCCTTCTCCTTCTCCTCCTTCTCCTCCTTCTCCTCCTTCTCCTCCTCCTCCTCCTCCTCCTCCTCCTCCTCCTCCTCCTCCTCCTCCTCCTCCTCCTCCTCCTCCTCCTCCTCCTCCTCCTCCTCCTCTCCCTTCTAGCACTGATGATGCTTTCCAGTTGGGTCATGAAATGTCTGCAAGAAAGCCAAGGTCAGAGAACACCAAGGACCCCACAGTCCTTCTCCTCCTCCTCCTCCTCCTAGCACTGATGAAGCTATCTAGTTGGGTTATGAAACATCTGCAAGAAAACCACCATGTTCAGAGAGCACCAACGACCCCACCATCCTCCTCCTCCCCACAAACCCCTCTCCCTTTTAGCACTGATGATGTCACCTACTCGGGTCATGAAATGTTCGCAAGAAAACAGCCAAGCTCAGAGGGCACCAAGGACCCTGCAGTTCTCCTCCTCCTCCTCTTCCTCCTCCTCTCCACACACTCCACTCTCTTCTAGCACTGGGGATATTACCTAGTTGGGTAATGAAACCTCTTGTTCTGCCCCAGCTATGGACCCCAAAGAACGCAGCAGACACAAACTCTATACAAAGCTTATTTTACTCAAATAACTTAAGTCTTTATCAACCAAAGGCTGTTAATAAACTGTCTTAACAGCCCACCAGAATTCTAAGATAAGGTAATCACAGTCTTACTAGAGTTGGCAGAAAGCCCAGAAGCAATTTTGCAGAGAATCCAGACGCGAAGGAGTGTGAACTGAAGTTGTTCCCTACAACTTGCTGCAATCTGCGTTTCTTCTTAAATAGGCTAGGGGAGTGGCCAATTAGCTCCAAGCCTTACTCTCGAGGAGAGCGCCTCCTGAGGAGCCACTCCTGCCTTTTAGCAGCTCTGCGCGCCCGTGCATTGAGAAGAGGCTCCTCATCTTCGTATTCTTCACTTATGGAAGCTTCTGGAGGTTCTGAAGGCCCTGGCTGAATCCCCGCCTCTGGCACCACATCTTCTCCAGCCTCCTCACTGTCTGACTCAAGCGCCAGCTGCACAGGCTGCTGGCGCAGCACCACACCAGCCTCCTCGCTGTCGGAATCAGCTACAATCCGCACAGGCCATTGACGGGCCACAACACCTCTCCAATAAAACAGTCAAGCTCAAAGAGCCCCAAGGACCCCACAGCCCTCCTCCTCCTCCTTTCCACAACCTCTCCTCCCTTCTAGCCCTGATGATGTTACCTAGTTTGGTTGTAAAATGTCTACAAGAAAACCACCAAGAGAGCACCAAGGACTCCACAGTCTTCCTCCTCCTCCTCCTCTTCTTCCTCCTCCTCCCCTCCACGAACACCCCTCCCTTCGAGCCCTGATCATATTACCTAGTTGGGTAATGAAAGGTCTGGAAAAAAAAAACCCCCAAAAACCAAATACAGCTCAGAGAGTACCAAGGACCCCATAAATTAAATCATGCCCACGTCTCCACCCGATAAAATGAAGATGGCTAGCTCAGGACTAAGGACTTTTTCTTAACTAACATCCAAGACATTAAATGCAGTGGAACCTGCCTGTTAGGTTCAGCTTAACCGATTTGGATTAAGAATCTGAAATGTAACTGATACTACTGTACAATGTATGATTTGGATGTGTATTTTTGTTTCTGTATCTATTGTGTATATTGTCCTGCCCAATGGGGAGAATGTTAGGTTCAGCTTGTAGCTTACTCCTAACTTGTTGGTCAGGCAATATATCTGTTTCTTTAAGAAACAACTGAGCCACGTAATCAGGGTTTGCTGAACCCTGTAATTAGGCTACAGTGCATACATAAGCAGCGCAGAGAAGCGTTCTTTGTTCCTGATTGTACCTGTTCCTGTTGCTTCCTGCGTCTTTCTGCTGATTAGTGTTAGACTGGATTGTTATATGGTATTGTATACCGAGAGTTACTAAAGTCTGTTTGCTTTAGTAAGGGAAGATACTTACTGGACTGATATTACTGTTTATGACCTTGGACTGTTTTACCTACACCGAGACTGCTTATTATCTTGTATATAAAGTATTTTTCTCACACGAGCTGCACATTTATCTCCTTCCCTGTGTGTTTCTGCTCTGCTCGTTGCACAAGCAACAAATACTGTTACACCCTAACACTGCCAAAACTTGAATTCCTATCCTTGAATTGAAGTGAGAAAGGTTGCAGTTTAGTTTTGATCTGCTTAGTTAGAAACATAGAAATGTAGAAAGTTTGACAGCAGAAAAAGAGAGTTAGTGGCTTATCAAATCTGCACTTTGAGATTCATTCATTCATTGATTCCATTCATTCATTCATTCATTCATTCATTCATTCATTCATTCTGTCAGGGCATTGATTAATCCCATGTCTGGCTCTGGGACTAATCACCCTGGTTTAATTAGAGGATGGATCATGGCTTATTCCTTGTTGCAATATTCTGAAAAAAAAAACGCGAAGAAAAGTTTCTAATAAAACTCATTTATTTGTTATAAAGAAAATAAAACACCTCACTAACTAAGAAAAGTAATTGCTACATTTTTGAAATAATTCTTGCCGGCTATTTTCTCAGCCGGACCTTGCTGGCAAGAGAACAAAGGAAAGAGTGTATGAAGCAAGTGAAAGAATGCGGACATGCGTAGTAGAATACTGATAAGAAACTTGGCAAACTACAGTAAGTCTATTAGTCCAAAAATAATGAAGCTCAGCTGGGAAATAAAATAACGCAGTGACACATTCATTCATTCAGTTTTAGTCATTTTTAATTTTTGTCAGATGACGGACACGCGTTTATCTCAAGCGTGTTTAAAACTCAGCGTCTGACGAAGCTTGGCTTGTTCGTAGGAGCTGTTTATTGTGGTTCAATACATTGAAATGTACTTTCTAAACAGCCTTATCCAAATGGTTGGCCGCGTTCATTTTTGCAAGATTATCTTCTTCCTCTCCCGTAGGATCGAGACTGGCAGCCGCTAAATCCGGGAGATCCCATGTTTTTGACTCTGGAAGGAAAGACCGTCGCGTACGACGGAGAAGTGACGGTATTCCCCACCTTTGTGAACGAGGCTGCCTACTACGAGAAGCAACAAGCCTTTGTAACGACGGCGAAAGAAAAATTGAGCGCAAAAGGGCTCCGAGTTTCTTAAACCCGGATTGTTTTTTTTAAACTTCCTCTAAAGTGCCTGCAAATATTTCTCGCCCAAAGTGGCCTAAAGACATCGTAGATCCTAGACCGAAAATTCAATTTATCATTGTAAGAAAGCACTTACTCAGAAAACGACGACGATTATAAACCATTTTTTATGCACTTTACAGTTCCTGTTTTTAATGATACTTTTTCAGGCCTGGTTTTGAAGCTGCTGAAAATCCTCGACTTACGACCACAATTGAGCCCAAAGCGTCCGTTGCTGAGCCACACTGCTAAGCGGGTTTTGCCCCATTTTACGACCTTTTTTTTGCCGGCGTTGTTAAGTGAATCATTGCAGTTAAGTTAGCAACAGGGCTGTTAAGTGAATCTGGCTTCCCCATTGACGTGGCTTGTCAGAAGGTCGCAGAAGGAGACGCCGCAACCATCATAAATACATTTCATTTTGTGACTGTTTGAAGTTACAGCGGCACTAAAAAAAAGTGACCGTTTTCACACTTACGACCGTTGCAGCATCCTTGTGGTGACGTGATCAAACTTCACATGCTTGGCAACTGGCTCAAATTTATGACGGTCGTACTGTCCTGTGGTCATGTGATCCCCTTATGCGACCTGACAAACGAAGTCAATGGGGAAGCCGGATTCACTTAACCACCGTCTTACTGATGGAACAACTGCCACGATTCACTTAACAACTGTGGCAAGACATGTTGTAAAATGGGGCAAAACTCACTTAACAACTGTCTCGTAATTTGGGGCTCAATTGTAGCCATAAGTCGAGGAATACTTGTAATTCAGAATTTACGTGTGCGAAGAAAAATTGCTTGAAGTAAACAAGGAAGAACTGGGTTAAAGAAATGTTATAAATGTGATGAACCTGGATATATAAATGTGAATAGAATAGAAAACAGAATAGGATAGGATAGGATAGGATAAGAAATAGAATAGAATAGAATAGAATAGAATAGAATAGAATAGAATAGAATAGAATAGAATAGAATAGAAAATATGGAAAGGAAGGAATGGAATGGAATGGAATGGAATAGAATAGAATAGAATAGAATAGAATAGAATAGAATAGAATAGAATAGAATAGAAAATATGGAATGGAATGGAATGGAATGGAATAGAATGGAATGGAATAGAATATAAAATATGGAAAGGAAGGAATGGAATGGAATAGAATAGAATAGAATAGAATAGAATAGAATAGAAAATATGGAATGGAATGGAATGGAATAGAATGGAATAGAATATAAAATATGGAAAGGAAGGAATGGAATGGAATGGAATAGAATAGAATAGAATAGAATAGAATAGAATAGAATAGAATAGAATAGAATAGAATAGAATATAAAATATGGAAAGGAAGGAATGGAATGGAATGGAATGGAATGGAATAGAATAGAATAGAATAGAATAGAATAGAATAGAATAGAATAGAATAGAATAGAATAGAATAGAAAATATGGAAAGGAAGGAATGGAATGGAATGGAATGGAATGGAATAGAATGGAATAGAATATAAAATATGGAAAGGAAGGAATGGAATGGAATGGAATGGAATGGAATGGAATGGAATGGAATGGAATGGAATAGAATAGAATATAAAATATGGAAAGGAAGGAATGGAATGGAATGGAATGGAATGGAATAGAATAGAATAGAATATAAAATATGGAAAGGAAGGAATGGAATGGAATGGAATGGAATGGAATGGAATGGAATAGAATAGAATAGAATAGAATAGAAAATATGGAATGGAATGGAATGGAATAGAATGGAATAGAATATAAAATATGGAAAGGAAGGAATGGAATGGAATGGAATAGAATAGAATAGAATAGAATATAAAATATGGAAAGAATGGAATGGAATGGAATGGAATGGAATGGAATAGAATAGAATAATGAAGAATGGAATGGAATGGAATGGAATGGAATAGAATAGAATAGAATAGAATAGAATAGAATAGAATAGAATAGAATAGAATAGAATAGAATAGAATAGTGGAATGAAGAATGGAATGGAATGGAATGGAATGGAATAGAATAGAATAATGAAGAATGGAATGGAATGGAATGGAATGGAATAGAATAGAATAGAATAGAATAGAATAGAATAGAATAGAATAGAATAGAATAGAATAGAAAATATGGAATGGAATGGAATGGAATAGAATGGAATAGAATATAAAATATGGAAAGGAAGGAATGGAATGGAATGGAATGGAATAGAATAGAATAGAATAGAATGGAATGGAATGGAATGGAATAGAATAGAATATAAAATATGGAAAGGAAGGAATGGAATGGAATGGAATGGAATGGAATAGAATAGAATAGAATAGAATATAAAATATGGAAAGGAAGGAATGGAATGGAATGGAATGGAATAGAATAGAATAGAATAGAATAGAATAGAATAGAATAGAATAGAATAGAATAGAATAGAATAGAATAACAGAGTTGGAAGGGACCTTGGAGATCTTCTAGTCCAACCCCCTGCTTAGGCAGGAAACCCTACACCACATTATTTATCAGATATTTCTGATAAAGAAACGTTATAAAACTGATATTTTAAGCCGCTCTAGTTTCAATCAGAGCCCTGAATCTAGTGGAGACTTTAGATCGAAAAAAACAGACACGGGAAGTCCTTGACTTATGACCGGTTGCTTAGTAACCATTTGAGCTTATGATGGACTCCTCCACGGTATTCCATGCCCCCCCGTGGTCACATGACCTCATTTTGGGCACCCATTTATAGTCATGTGCAGCATCCCACATGACTGCATTTTACAGTTTTTTGTTTTTTTTTTGCCAAAAACTGACGTAAACTGCCAGTTTTTGGCAAAACTGGCCCATAATGAACAATCGATTTATTTAACAACCGTTGCAAAAAAAAAAAAAAAAAAATCATAAAATTGGATGGGTGACCTGTTTTATGTCCGTCACGACTCTAATGGTCCACCTTCATTACGGTCGTAAGCTGAGGACTCTCTTTAAGAGTTCAAATTTCTCCTCGGGGTGAGGAGGATGGTTCTTTCCTGACCGTCACAAAATGGCACACGAGGGAGATAGACGTGTTTATAAAACAATTGACTTTATTTCTTTTATTTGCAATAAATATATATATAGATTTATAGATTTTTAAAAGACAGTCCCAGGTCTGATAAATCCCCAGATAAAGTCATCAGGTTTGGAAAAATGACGAATGCCATATGGGTCTCTCGCTTTTCCGCAGGGAGATTTTTTGCCAAATTGCACATCTGGCTGTAAAGTGCAGATCAAAAAGGAGCGATTTGCTCTCTGGCAACGCTCACAAAACATCACTTACAAAAAAAAAAACCCACCAAGAAATATTTGAATAAATACGGCACATACTTGGAATTCAAGAATTTTTCTTTGCAGATGCATACATCTCTT